ATTTGTAGGGTCCCGTATGACCAGCTGACACAAGAGGAAACCCCTAAGTTTGTGTTACAAATGGGTTGGTTTGATAAATGGGTGACAGCCACATTCAGGGGTGGCCCTAAACTCAATGTAGAAAGAAAATTTCAGTAGACATAATACTAGGTCATTCAATTTGCATGGAAGAAAAAATGGCCAAAGATGAGAATTTACACCAATCCTTGATGGCGGCTCAGGAGTTCCAGGGCAGAGGCATGTGGATGCACATTTGAGGGTGGGCAAACATGTGAGGGCTATTGCTACCCACCTTTATGTCCACCAGGAAGCCCCGACAGTCAGTTACACAAGAAGACCCAGCAGTGATGTTAGCTGCACAGTGTGTGCCAGATCTGGGGCCACAGGCAATGCACAGAAAGGCAGGGAGGGAGGCTGTGCTTGGCCCCACAGCATGGACCTACTCACTGATGGCATCGCCTTCCGCACTGTCCTGAGACAGCTGGCCTCACAAAATCCTGAAGTGGCCTTCTAACGGAGCAACTGAAGTGCCAGCTCAGAGGGAATACCATTCTTCAGAGCACAGAGACCTACATATGCCATTATGTCCCCCAAAAGAAGGATACATGAATCTTCAGATAAAGAAGGTGGCAGGGGTGGGAAGAAGGGACTTCACTCACCCTCACGCTCAGTGACACGCCGGGGTTCCTGTGCTTCCTGTTCTGTAATTCTACGCTCTGCTGGATTCAAGGACTCCGTCTGTAGACAAGGCATACCCTTGCCAGGAGACACAGTTAGGGTTCTGTTGAATTTCCAGTTAAAGTTGCTACCAGAACACTTGGGACTCTTTGTGCACAGGAGTCGCCATATTGGCAGGAACTATATGAACCAGTAGGAGGTGAGAGGAGTGCTTACAGCCAGCAGGGACAGGGAGGAACAGGTGTGGGACTCAGAGGATCCACTTGGGTGCCCCCTGGTCCTCCCTTGCCCCTCTATAACTGGGAATAAATGCATGCAGCCACCCCAGACTGAAGAGTATAACTATTATTTATTTGTGTATTTTTGAGACAGGGACTTGCTGAGTTGTCCAGGCTGGGCTTGAGTCTTCCAAGCAATCCCAGGTGTGCATCACTGAACCCAGCTGATTATCGTGGATTTAGGTCCATCAGGAATGTGGCTCATGCCATCAGGTCAACCACTAATATCTGCTCCCTTGATAGTCAAGTGGGAGGAGAACTTACATGAAGAGTGGAGGAAGGGTGAGGCTACAGCTGGGGGTGTGGAGGAAAGCCCCCGATCAGGGGGCACAGCTCACAGAAGAGAGGACCTCGGAGCATCTGCTGCCTGGACCTTCCTGTGCAGAGAAGGAGATCTGTGTGCTGCCAGGGTGGGCTGTGGCAGTCAAGAATGTCCCTTAAGGACCACCACCTCAGGGAGCATGAATGACCAAGGGCCGTGGATGCTGTGCTTGGAGAATCCCTGCTGCGTTTGCTCTGAAGCTACACTTCCTACAGGCTGCTTCCTGTAAGTGGCTGAGCACGCAGGGATCTAAGACAGGCTGACTCCTGGGAGACATCCAGTGATAGCCGACTTCAGCTCAAGGACTCCCCAACAGATGGCTGAACTTTCCTTAAGTGGCAGGCAGTCTAGAACCTTCCATCCAACCTCCTCTCCCTCTCTCCCTGTCTTTCCATCCCTGCTTTGCTGTCTGACACTCTCTCCCTCTTCCTCACCTTCCTTCCCATTTTTTCCTCCCACCAGTGTTTTCCTTAATACAACCATTATACATTTAATATCTTCGTGACACCTGATCAGAGATGTGTAGTTACTCAATTTCTCCAAAAACAAAAAGCCCTCGTTTGTAGCATTGGCTGATTTCCATGGCATAAATAGTCCCACCATGAAACTTCTACTCTTGCAAAATTTCTAAATTGCTCTAAGGGCAGATAAAGCCATTCCAATGTACCATTTCACCTGACTCTGGAGGCCGAGAGGATATGGACCAAGGCAGGTGGATGGACCTGTGGAGGGCTGGGTGGTGCTTCAAGAGTGAATGAGTCATGCATTGGGGACTCAAAATACTGTCAGCATTTGTTTTCAGTAAGAGGGTGCCATGTTTTGTATCTGCCAAAGGCTCATGAGCTGGAACATACTCCCCAGGATGGCCATGTTGAGGTGGTGGGACCTTCAGGAGGTGAGGTCTAGTGGAAAGTAAGAGCTCATGAGGGCTTCGCCTTCATGAATGGATCGATGCTCCTTGCAGTAGTGGGTCAGGTCTTGTGGGACCAGAGTAGTTGTTTCCAGAAGAATGGATTGTTTCAAGCAAGCCTGGCCTCTTCTCTGTATTGTGCTTTTGCAGGTGCTCCTGCCGTTACAATGCCATCTGCCATGAGGCCCTCACCAGAGTGAGCAGATGCAAGCACCGTGCTCTTGAATCTCCAGAACTGAGAGCTGCACAAACCTATTTTCTACATTCATTAACCAGGGCTGGGAGTATAGCTCAGTGCAAGCTTAGCATGCACGAGGCCCTGGGTTCACCCTACAGTCCTACTCCCCAAAAATATATGTGTGTGTATTTACACACACACATTACTTGTCATCAGATACTCTGTAATAACAGCGCAGAACAGACCAGACGGAGGGTATCTTCTCTGTGCTCCAAAGTCTCTTTGGTCTTTTACACTTTTCCCAAATGTGAACAGCAGAAGAAGAGGTCTTTCAAACCCAGAGAAGAACTTAATAGAAACCTGACCCGTGCCCTTCCTTCCAACTCATGGTCCATGGGCCTAGTCACCCTCTCTCCCTCCTCGATCCATTCATCAAGCTGCAGTTTGATTGGCCTTCCTAAGTCCAAACTATGGCTGTGTAAATACCTCTGCTCAGCCATCTCCAGCAGCCCCCCTGTGTAGGGAGGTGCTTCTCACAACCAGGGGTGCTGATAGGCGTCATGGGAGTCCAGGGTGAGCAAAATCAAATAAATTTGGGCGATTCTAACTTAAACACGTAGAGGCAGGTTTCTTTCTGTTGGGCGTATCCCTGAGAAGACAGTGTGCACAGTGAACCCTGCAGGGCAAGGCCCCACTTCTGAACCGACTCAACTATGGCTCCCTCCCCCCTTAGAACCAGAGTTCTTTAAGTCTGTGGAGCACATTGGAAATGCTGGTTTAGAGAATAAAACCCAAACTCCTCCATGCACCCTTCACGGCCCACCGCTGTCCAGGTTTCAAGCGTCTGGCCTTGCTTTTCTTCCCAAACTCTCTGTTCTAGAATCTTAAACCCAATTCACTAATTCCCTGGGCCTCCTGTGGATGCTTCACTGTCTACAGTCCTTTCACAGTAACCTGCCCCTTCTCCAATGGCCCATTTCCTCTTTTTACTTATTGAAGTTCATCTGTCCTCTCAGGCCCAGCTCTGATGCCTCCCTTCTATAAAGTCCCATCTGAAACTATATGACTTTTTAAAAAGTTGGGGTAAAAATACACATGACATAGAACTTACCGTCTTAATTGTTTTTAAGTGTGCAGTTCAGTGGCATTAAGTACATGTCACCTTTGGGGCAACCATCAGCATCCGCCTTCAGAATATTTCCAAACTCCTGGACTGTCCCTTACAATCGAACTCTCCATCACCCGCCCCAGCCCCTGTAACTATCATTTTACCTCCAGTCTTTGAATTTGACTAGTTTCCTTATGTAAGTGGAATCAGTCTTTGTCCTTCGGTGACTGGCTTATTCACTTAGCATAAAGTCTTTTTTTTTTTTTTCACTTCAAGTTTTATTTAGCCTCTTGCATGGTCTTCAGATAGTTTTACAGTTCGTTTTCTACAGGAACTGAGTTGTGATCTAAACAATCAATGAAATGTCATTCCAACCTTAATAAATATTCATAACCATGGAAGATAGCATAGCACTTTATGATCCTATAGTGATGAAGGTATAGACCTGGACATCTATTGCACAGTTAGCACGTGTGACCAGAGGCCAGGCAAAGGGATTACTAAAAGCCAAGGTAAAACCAAAAGCACTTGTTTTAAAATCCTGATTCCATGAGGATAACTCCAAAATCCTCCAGATAAAATGCTTGAGTGCTTGAGATGTCAAAGAGAAGACTAACATTCAACTGTCTTAATATTTAGTAGGGATCTTACCTTCACCTCAGCCCTCAAAAATGCAAATTTGTTTTCAGCTTGACAACACATTACAGTTAAAAGAGTTCTACCCTAAGAAAAAAGAGACTTCCTTCCTCCTCACCCACAGGGCACACACTTGGGCCTCCACTGGAAGTCACTAGATACCACTACATACAATGCTTTAAGAGTCACTCAAAGCCCACACTAGTGGAGATCTACCAAGGCAAATCTGTTTCTAGTTTCCTTCTTTATCCCTCCCTCTCCCCCGATTCAGCTGAAAGTTAAATAGCTGATGCAAAACTGCTGGAAGCAAGATAACAAAAATACTGTTATGAATCTATGGAAAAGTCAGCCAGCCATGATGAAAAAAATGAGTCCTGCAGAGATTACCTGCCAGCCTCATGCACAGAACCCTTAAAAACACCAATTCTAAATTAGAATACATGAAGCTTTCAGAACCTGTGATTAAAGGAAAAACAGGGGTAGCCATAAATCATTGGTTAAAGTGTGCTCATTCTTTTAAAAATTAGATAAAATCATGCAAATATTAAAGACTGATTTAAATCAGTAGTAACAAGTCTTGAGATTAAAGGACAACTGATCTAAGGGCAAAAACCATTCAGTCTTCTTACCCTATTTGACAGATGTCAAAATGAACATTTCACATGCTGATTTCCAGAAGTGACTGCATTTTGCAACAGATCTAAGAAATTAGGCTCTCGTACCCAAAAAGGTTATGGCCTAGCCCTAAGTGGGAGGCACTTTAAAACTTATTATGGGGTGGGGGGAAGGAAAATTCACCTTCCATTGATTTGCTAATTCAAAGTGCCATCCTAAACACCTTTTCATTTTAAAAAAACAAAAATTACCAAAAACAATAAACAAAAGGATAGTCAAGTTACAGCTAGTTTATATACAAAGAAATTTACAAGTTTGTCAGTTTTAGGCTTTTACACAAACAACTGCACATTTTTGTCCCTACAAAGTACAACATGCCTGAACCAATGGTTACTACAGGAGACAATCAGCCATAGCTTTACAAAAAGCAGAAAAACTGCCCCAAATTGAAATCATTTATTCATCTTAAACTAATGCCAAACCATCCCACCTGGAAAATCAACCCTGAAGGCTCTGAAACCCACTAAAATCTTTCTCAACTCTGCATGTCTCCAAAGAATGAGACATTTCATTCAATAAACCAAAGAGGATGCCAGAAGTGATTTTGATTACTCTTAGGTGAGAAATGCAACACTGGATACAGAAAAATAGTGCTGACTACATTTATTGAAGATCCTCCCTATAAGCCCACCTAAGGTGTCTTAGCACCTAACACAAGACATAAGACCCAGAAGAAGGGCCCCACATGTCTGTTTCATACAGAATTTGCAGCAGTATACTATCTTCTTCCAACCAGTCAGGAGTCTGAAAGTGTGATGGGTGAGTTTTACAAAGTTGTCTTTGTTTTCAATTCAAATGGACTGATATGTTGCTGCTCCAGACGCAGAACCGTATGAAGACCCCAACCACCAACCACAAGGTGGAGTTAAGAGTTTTGGACAGTTCATGGTGCCAACAGTGTCACAGGCTCCGACCAAGTATAACCACATCCTTTGGAAATCCTTCCATTTTTGCAATTTCAAAACAGCCTAACTTGCTGTAAAATTCCAGAATTCTTTTATCATCTGGTCTCACTTCACAGAAAGCCCCCCGGGAGCCATTAGCTTTCAGTGAAGACAGGAGGCAAGCCATCATACTCTTGGCTACACTTGGGTCAGTTACTTTTTTGTGAATATCCATCTTGATCAGAGAAGGGAAGTTGGCGAGGAAAGTTTCTGGCAACACTTCCTGTTCTTCATGGAAACTCAACATTATTTTCTCAGCTTCTGAGAGTTCTTTGTCACCATTTGGCTTTGTGTACTTCTCCTGCATGAATGGAATCCAGGAAATTTTACATTTTTTAATGAAGGGGGTCACATCTACAGTGCCCAAGGCATAACCACATATACCATCTTCATCTTCTAGGACAAAACAGTAATCCAGGCTGAGGGAAAGCAGTCCTCCTACTAATTTGTCTCCAATAAGGTCAGGTTGACTTTGAAAAGGCAAACCCACTCCATCATCATACATTTCTCTGCAAATCTTGTACACGGAAGCCTCATCTTTAGGAAAATATGGTCTGATAGTATAAACTTTGGAGGTAGGAGTCAGTGGGGGTGGTTGGAAAAATAGATCATTTGCCCCATCAATTGGCAGCAAACGCTGGAACTCTCCTGCTAGACCACCTCTAAAGGCCCAGGGTTCTTGGTCTCCAATTAAGAACTGTGCTGAAGAATGACTACGACACCCTAACCACTGTACGAAAGACTTCACCATAGACATTATACTCTTGATATCCCAAACATAGGAGTACATGTCATAAAGGATTGTCCTGTTGGCACAATTGGAAAGCCGAGTGAACATTCCCATCACTAGTCCACACATCTCTTCAAACTTGGCCGCTCGAGACCTACATTCTTCAATTTTTTCAGAGTCTTTGCCTTTGCAATTGACACTAACTACACTGCTATTTGCTCGAAGCCACTGGAATTCCCGTAACATTTGTGCTCCTTTAGGTCCATGCTCATAAGGTAGGTAGAACAGATCAGCAAGTAACTGCAAATCTTCTAGAGTCACTGGTTCTGCAGTATACAAAGGCTTTTCATTTGGACCTGGCACAAACTGCTCCTTGTTTGTCTGTTCATCAGTCTGCATAGGAGCAATATCACTAATACAATCTTCTTGCATAGACATCTCTGGGGATTTTGATTCAGCTATGCTTTCTTTATCAGTGTCCATCGGTTTCAATTCCTCTGCCATTTTAGCTTCAACAATTTCAGTTAGTATTTGATTGTCATTCTTGTGATCTGTTTCTTCTTGTTTCTCTACTACCATGTCCATGGGTTCCTCATCTAGCTGTTTCTTTTCTTCTTCCTTGGTCAGAGGTGTAGGTTCACCACCCAGAGCTGCTCCCTGACTCATAATGGGCTCCTGATAAACTGTTGTAACTACTGTTGTGGCATTTAAAGAGGGAGCTGTGACTAAGGGAGCCCCATCAACTACACTTGCTTTAGCTCCACTGTGTGCAACTTGCCTACTGCTATACTGATGAGGTACACCGAACTCTTGCAACCATTCTGTTAAAGCTAGCTTTAGAGCCATCTGAGGACTATAGAGTACATCAGTTTCAATATCTTCATCACTGCCTTCATTTTCTAACTTTATCTGGATTGATACAGTACTGTCTTCACTGTCAGTCATCACTACATCTTTTCTCACTCCATTCATGTTTGATTTGTACCAAGTAGCAAGGGTGTGGATAGCAACATAGTTGGCTTCAAATTCACAATTTGGATTAGTCAGGACTCCTTTTAACCGTGGGATGAGTTCTGTAGATCTTCCTTTGTATGGGCCCAGAAACAACCTCTTCTGATCATAATCATTAGCATGAATGTTATCCCAGATTACTGGAGCTCTCTTAATAATCTTAGAAACCTCTTCAATAGACTCTACTGGAATTTCTTTAGAAACAACTTTGGGACCTGTCCAAAGGACCTCAATTCCAGGTAGAAGCTTTTCACCCACAGTCCTTAAATAAGGAGACTGAGACACATTTGGATAACAGAAAGTGCCACAATATTCTGTAGGACAGAAGAGGAAAGTTTCTGGCTCTCCTAGGTACTGATAAATTTCATTTGTGATGGAGACTTGTGCATGAGCAAAAGAACTGAATACCTCTTTGTCTGCTGCACACATATTATGGTCAATATCATCAAAAAGCAAAGCAAATGACCTGCATCCAAACTGAGAAACCTGGTCCAATTTGCGTTTTAATGTAGATACTTCCTTAGGGTTAGAAAAAGTGATATCCAATCCAGGCGAGATAGCATAGATGAACTCTATCTCATATTCCCGGGCAGCAGAGATGAGAGTCATAAGTTGCTCAGCTTCCTCCACTGAATACATTTCTCTCCAAAACATCCTATGTTTATAGTCATCTTTTGGAGCATACAAGTATGTATTCAATTCCCATTTCTGGAGCCTTCTAAAGAGTTCTTTTCTCTGTTCCATAACTCAAGGTCTTCCATAAAATCCTTCCACCACGCCACACAAGAACCTCCGAGCCCCTCCTGCCGCCCCGGTCACTGCCGCTCCCCCAGCCCCGGTTCCTGGGTTGTCTTCCCCAGGGGCTGGAGCTGCCGGCGGCTCCAACGATGCGCCCGCAGAGGCGGCTGGGTTAGAACTGAGTTCATTCTCCCGCTCCTCCAGCGCCGCCTGGCTCTCTTTCTGCACCATCCTCCTGCCACTGGCCGCCGCCACCTCTGCGGGTCCTCTTCCAGCATAAAGTCTTTAAAGTTCATTCATGTTGTTGCAGATGTCAGAATTTCTCTCTTATTTAAGACAGAACAATAGTCCATTGTATTTATCACATTTTACTTATCCGTTCATCTGGTGATAAAAACAGGTGGCTTCCACCTCTTGGCCATTGAGAATAACGCTGCTGTGAGCATCAGTGTAGTAATACCTGCTTGAGTTCCTGTTTTCAGGAGCTGTTTTTTCCTTCTGGATCTATACCCAGAGGTATAGATGTCCAGGTCACGTGGTAATTCTATGATTCATTGTTTGAGGAGCAGCCATACTGGTTTCCACCACATTTGATCACCATTTGACCTTCCTGAAGCCACACGACCTTTTATCAGCACCCTGTGTTGATCACCACTCCCCAGAGTGTCTTTAGCCATTTGTACACATCTTCTCTTTCCTGTCTGTTACGGTTTGGATGTGAGGTGTCCCCCAAAAGGCCACGTGTGAGTCAATGCAAGAAAGTTCAGAGAAGAAATGATCAGGTTGTGACAGCCTTCACCCAGTCAGTAATTAAACCCTGATGGGAACTGAGCGATAATTGGAGGAGATGGGGTATTGGGGGGACCATGACTTTGGAGTATATGTTTGTATCTGGTGAGTGGAGTGTCTCTCGGCTTCCTGATCATCACGTGAGTGGTTCCCCTCTGCCACACACTCTGCCATGATGGTCAGCCTCACCTTGAGCCCTGAGGAGTGGAGACTCTGTCCATGGACAGAGATCTCTGAAACCCTGAGCCCCCAGATAAACTTTTCCTCCCCTAAAATTGTTCCTGTGAGATCTTTTAGTCTCAGCAGTGAGAAGACTGATGAAAACACGGTCTTATAAGTTCCTGAAAGGTCAGATCCATGACACAGTTTTTGGTTCCTCCCAGACCTCTAGTTAGCACGTTAATGCTGTGTCTGCTCATGTTCTGCACCTTAATACTGTGCCCTTAAAAACCGTGTGGTGGGGCTGGGGATGTGGCTCAAGCGGTAGCGTGCTCGCCTGGTATGCGTGTGGCCAGGGTTCAATCCTCAGCACCACATACCAACAAAGATGTTGTGTCCGCCGAGAACTAAAAAATAAATATTAAAAATTCTCTCTCTCTCTCTCTCCTCTCTCACTCTCTCTTTAAAAAAAAAAGTACATAGGAAGAAAAGTAAGAAAGAAAACTATGAGTAAGAAAAAAAAGGCAACTAACGTGGGAAAATACATTTCATAGAAGATGACATTCAAGTGGCTAAAAACTCAACAGAAAAGCAAATCTAGATTTTAAACAGCAATATGACATTATTCTTCAGGTATCAAATTTGCAAAAAAAAAATAACAAAAAAAAAAACCGTGTGGTTTCTTTCTACATTGACACCCTCCCCATGGTGTTCACCAATGGAGACACACACACACACACACACACACACACACACACACACGTTACATTGTAATCCTTCTACTCTTCATCATGGTAAGTGAAGCCTCTACCAAAAGATGTTAAGATGTTTATTTGCACCATGAATATGGTCCCATTGCACCATAATGTTGGGTGGAGATGGTGCTTTTCCGGTGTTAGCTACCAGAGGATCAGAACAAACCCAGTGCCCACAGACAAATTCACAGAGGAAAAGAGACTGGAAGGACTCCGGGTAGCTCCTGATCCCCTCAGGTCAGGCATGGCAGATGCTTCCCTCCTTCCGTTCCAAAGCAGGAACCCAGCTTCTCTTTTGAATGGTGGTGTTGGAAACCTCCATCTTTCCTACCCCGGAAGGAAATGAGAGTGAGTGGACACTTGTTCCTCAGCATTCCTGGTCCCAGCTACTCTGGCAAGAAGCCGTCTGCCCAGCAGGTTGGTCTTTCGGTTTCTTCTTCTCATTCCTTTCCATATAGCTTAATGTTCCTCATTCTGCAGGTTAACATTTAACAGGGAAAGAAAAAAAAATCAGCTACTTAGAGTTTTGAGCAAATGTTAATCACCAACAGCAGCCTGGGTAATCCACTTTTAACATTTCTCCCGCGGTAGGCAAGGCTAATTTAGCTTGTCAGTGGAGGTTCTGTCTGTGATTAACCTCTTCACCTTTTGTCTTTCCAAGTCTAGTTTGCTTTCGCAGGGTTTAATTGGATTAGGGTTAGGGTCTCAGGGACTTTCAGATCTAGAGGAGACGATGGGAAATGGAAGGTGTGGGGGTCATTGATGGGATGCCTGGCCCAAGGGGAGAATTCAGTCCAGAATCAGTGGCACTGGGAGCAAGGGCTCCCCAGAGGGATCTTCCTCAGGTCTCAACGGCTCACTGCCAAGGAATCTCCGGGACAGGAGAGTCTAGCATTACTTGCTGCTATTTTTTTTCCTTTTCTTTTTTAAGGAGGAGAGAAGAAACATGGATAGCTTGTAAGGGAGGAAAGCAACAAAGAAAGACAGAAAACACCCAGTGTTATGCAGTTGGTTAAGAGAATAACGATAAATAATAATAACAACCACCTGATTTCATCATAAACTAATTTTGGATCCCAAAGCACGAAGGGAGCCTAGGTCCAGGGTTAAGAGGAATGGTCGGCATTTCGAGCCACAGGGCTCTGGAAGACATCTGTCAGTGAGGTCTCCTCAGGAGGAAGAAGAGTGGAGGCGAATGCCCATCTGATAGGTTTCAGTCCAGAGATAAGATATTCCACAAGGACCACATCGCACAGTCGGTGTAAGGCACACCTGCAGAGACAACTTCCCCGGGCACTGGAGACAGAGGGATGCCAATGGTATCACCTGGCTGGCACCTTCTTCCAGGTACCACACTCCCTGCCCATCCATGGTTGCCAAGAGTGTGCCGTGCACACACCTAACTCCGACGTGATGGGGTGGGGTTTTCCACCCTTTGATTAAGTTGAGGGGCACTCAACCCAAGCTGGGCATAAAACATAACAGCCTGTAAAATCCCCAAAGCTGTGTTTCTTGCCATGTGGCTCTGAGAAGCAGAGACCAGTTCATAGGACAGAGAGAGTAATCAAATATGTTCTGAAAGGAGCTGAGTAAGGGACTCAGAGAAAGATGTTGGAGTGGATATCTCCAGCTGTCCCTGAGGCCCAATCCTTGTAGGGGATTCCATGAGACAACAAGTCCCCTTAGTGTTTAAGCTGGTTCAAATTGGTCTTCTCTCCCTTGAAATCGTAAGAGTTCTGAATAATTCGCTGGACACCAAGGTCAGGAAGGCAAGAGTACTGTTTGGTCTGTTCTGCAGTCCTGGGGATTGAACCTAGGGCCTTGCACGTGCTAGGCAAGCACTCTACAATTGAACTACATCCCCAGGCTTTTTATTTTGTGAGCCAGGGTCTCACTAAGTTGCCCAGGCTGACCTTGAACTTGCAGTCCTCCTGCTTCAGCCTCTGAAGTTGCTGGGATTACAGGTGTGTGCCACTGAATACCTTCCAGAGGTTAAGCATAGCTCTGGGGAACTGGAGGTGGGCAAGAGTAAGAAGGGGTTGAGACGCAACCAAGGAGGAAGGCTGGAGAATTGAAGCAAGTTAACATAAGAAGGCACCACTGGCCGTGCAGGTGCCTGAGCATCTCCCAATAAGACTGCCCTCAGTAGACAAAAGGCTGCAGACTCCATCCATTTGTCAAAGCTGCCTGGGAATTCGCCAGAGTAATGGTTGCAACATCAACAACAGCAAAAGCAGAAAATAACCCAACTAAAAAAATGGGCAAAGGAATTGAACAGACATTTCTCCAAAGGAGATATATAAATGGCCAATGAGCACATAAAATGATGCTCAATATCATTAAGCTTTAGGGAAATGAAAATCAAAACCACAATGAGGCACCCTGTACCCTTTTAGGAGGACTACTATAAACACACACACACACACACACACACACACACACACACACACACACACACACAGGCAAGGATGGGGAGAAATGGTGTAGCTGCTGTGGAAAACAGAATGGCAATTCCTCAAAAAATCAAAGATGGAATCATCCTCTGATCCAGAGATTCCCACCTGCAATCTGGATCCAGATTTTCTTTCTAAGATATTCTCACTATTCTTATGCTGGGTTTTTCTACAACTCCCGCTCCCAGGATGGGGCTCATGCGAACCCAACTACTTTGGATGCTCCTCCATCATTGAATCCCACCTGCCTCCTGAGGTTTCCCTGACCCTCTCATTGGACAGGTGTCCCTTGAACTTTCACAGTGTTTGACAGTCTCTTGTATGCGGCCCCTCATGTTTGCTGTTGTAATTGGTGACGTGTTTGTCTCATCCTCTCCACTGGACTCTGAACTCACTGTGAGCAGGGCGAAAGTGAGTCTTATTTATCCACAGATTCCTCCCAGCTGACATCAGGGTTGGACCCACAGCAAAATTTCAATGAAAATGGTTGAAAAAAGGGAATATGGGGAGCTGAGAAGATTTGTTCCTTGCAGTATGAGAGTTCTGCACAAAATTAAATTTAGGAACACGTCCCACACTTGGGTCTATTTTCTCCTATATATGTTTGGTCTATGAACAGGAGAACAGGTCCGTGGCTTGCATGGCCATGTTGGTCTTGTCATTTCTGCTTATAGATGTACCACGTCATTGTTTCCAGAAGTATCCCTCTGCAGAAGCCTCCTCATCCGACTCTTGCGCACACACCAGGTAATCCTGGAGACTCCAAAAGGCTTCCTAGAATCACAGCAGGGAACTCAGGAAGATGTCCTGGAAAATGGCCTCATCCATCATGGTAAAATGTCCCCCTGCTATGATCTGAATGTGAATGTCCCTCAAAATCCATATGTTGAAATTCTAGCCCTCAAGGTGATGGCATTTAGAGGTGGAGACTCTTGACAGGTGAGTAGGGCATGAGAGTGGGGCACGAAGGAATGAGATTGGTGCTCTTGTAAAACCAGGCCCAGGGGAGCTCACTTGTTCCTTCTACAGTGTGAGAACATGCAATCCTGGATTTTCCAGTCTCTAGGACTGTGAGAAATTAGTCCCTGTTGGTGATAGGCTACGCAGCCTATGACATTTTGTTCTAACGACCTGGATGGACTAGGACACCCCGAATACGGCCTGGAGATGTTGAGTGTGGGCCTATCATCTGGAAGGCATTGTGTGAGGCAGACCACAGGCCGGCTTCAGATGAGGAGCCTGAAACAAGTGCAGCAACTGTTGTTCTCTGTGTCTGGGAGGGACTGGGCCCTTAGGGTCACAGCTAAAGAGCATTTTTCTGAGCACTTGTTATACGCTAGGTGTTGTTAAAACATGTCACTTGACAAATACTAGCTGCAGGTGGCTATTGAGTTCTTGGAATGTGACTAGAGCAACTGAACAACTGACTTTTAATTTAATTTAATTTAAACTCAAATACAGATGCTATATTTAGTTATTAGGTACTATTTATGAATGCCTGGAGTCGGGCACAGTGATGCATGCTTGTAATCCCAGCAACTCAGAAGGCTGAGACAAGAAAAGCACAAGTTCAAAGCCAGCCTTGGCAAGGCCCTAAGCAACTTAGTGAGACCTTGTTTCAGAAAAAGAAGAAGGGGAAGGAGAAGGAGAAGGAGAAGAGGAGGAGGAGGAGGAGGAGGAGGAGGAGAAAGAGAGAAAGAAAAAGGGCTGGGGATGGTATGTAGTCTAGTGGTAGAGTACCCCTGGGTTTAATCCCCAGCGCACGCACACACGTGCACATACACACATGCACACACACAGTTTAGAACTAACTTAGTGTGTGAATTATAAGTCTTCAATTATAAGTCTTATGACATCTAAATATGAGGCAAATATTTCTGATGAGAATTTAGAATCTGAATTTAGATGCACTATACACGTAAAACACATCAGATTTGGAAGATTCACTATGAATAAAAGAATAGTAAACCTATTGTTAATGATTTTTATATTGGTTACATGTTGAAATGGTAATATCATTGGTTATATATATTGGTTAAATAAAATATAGGATTATAATTAATGTCACATGTTTCTAATTTTACTTTTAAAAATGTGGCTACTAGAAAGTTTAAAATTCCATATATTGCTTGTACTATAATATTTCTACTGAACACTACTATGTACTATGCTAAATATTTTATCATTATTATCTTATTTAATTTTGACAACTCTATGAAGTACATCCTGCTATTTTTACCACCTTTTTTTACAAAAGAGAATCATGCAGAGACAGGCTCACAGTCATAGCATGCCATATACCTTTTTGGGGGTTGACACCGGAGCACACACCCTTTGTTGAGATTGCTAAGGGTGTCAGAATCACAATGCATGCTTTTCAGCAATATTTTTGGAGGTGTGTTATATATAGTGCAGGCACATTCACAGAACTGAAAGAGAGGCTATTACAGAATGCACCACAACTTTCCTACCTCTGCTTTGGCATGTCTTGATTTCTTAATATCCTGGGACCCTCAAAAAGTAGAAAACCAAGTCCATATAGACTTCTAAGAGGCCCTGGGATCACATTAAATAATTTTCCTAGCTGCCCCCGAATGCGGCCTTGGATGGATCTGAGTCACTAGTGTGATGAGTGATTCAGGAATTGGATGAGACAGGTTGGACACAATGGGGGTTCAGAAGGGGCTGGCTGCAAGAGAACGCTACCACCTCTCACGCTCTGCTATTGATTAATCGTCCACACAGAGGCAGCAAGGTGCTAGGTAGAGGGGGAAGGTGGGAACAGGGGAGAAATATTCAATATTTTCCAGGGCAAAGTTTTCTAAGCGGCTGGCGGGGAGCTGGGAGGGCAGCAGTTCTGTGTGTTGGGAGCTCACCAGAAAGTCCCAGAACACTCTGCTTTTTGCCCTAGATGATGTGTTTCCGGGTCCTGCCTTGCCATTGCTTGAAATTCCAATGGATGGTGAGGGTGGGACACGGGCAGGCCTGACTGCTGGGGGAGTCAGGGTGTCAAAGATACAAAGGGCCGGGGTTCCACAAGGGAAGGGCTGGATGTGGAGAGGGGGGAGGACAAAGCCAACATCTTTTCTTGAGCTTCCTGAGTCAGACAGTCCCGTATTTAGTCAAAATAATTGACTGAATACAAATCATGAAAATAATGAAACCAGAATTCATAATTGTGCAAAACAACATGAAAGGGCTGCCTTCAAACCTGCTAAGGTGAGATAGTTAACCTGGCTGACACCCCTCCAGCAGCCAAAATCACACGTGTCCTGTTAGTGCCAGGTGCTGCTACCCACCTGCCATAGGTCCTGGCAGGATGTTAGACCTTGGGGAAGTAGAAGAGAGATCAAGCAACCAAGGAAGATCTTGAGTCCCTACAGTTGATTTCATCCAATGTGTGCATTTGGACGTGAGGGTACCAGGGAGTTCCACACTGAGTGTAGCCCTAAGCAACTTAGTGAGACCCTGTGTGAGGGACCACAGTGCTGTCCTTACACAGAAAGCCAAGACCCTGGCACAGCTCTGCCTTCCCACTGCTGGGCACCGTTACAGGAAAGCCCTTCACTTGGTATGTAAGTGACTGTCCTTTACTATAAAATATCTCTGGGAAAGTGAAGAGACGCTGGGCTATTCACACCCTACTGTGAAATACATGGTTGAAGCTCTTGTCCTTTGTCCTAACACCTCTTGAACTTTGAGAAGACAGATGCTTTTAAGGGGCTTTGGGGAGGAGAGTTAGAAGGTGTTAAGAATTTATTATTATTATTAATTTATTTTTGGAGGGCGCACCCCAGTGGGGAAGGCTTTGGGTGTAAGCAGGGTGTCAGAGTAGAAGGGACACAGTTCTACAAGGAAGGTAGAAGGATCCCCTCTTAGATATTCTCTCTGATCTACGGTGGTGGCTCACATCTGTAATTCCAGCAACTCAGTAGGCTGAGGTAAGAGGATGCCCCAGTTTGAGGCCAGCCTGGGCAATTTAGTGAGATCCTATATCAAAAATAAAAACAGGCTGGGGAGTAGCTCAGCAGTAGAGTGCCTCTGGGTTAAATCCCTAGTACCACAAAAACAAAAAAATACAAACCACCACCACCAACAACAAAACCAGAAAGAAGTGTCCTGTGGGGCCTGGCATACTGGCAGCAGCTCACACCTGTAATTCCAGCTACTGGGGAGGCTGAGATAGGAGGATGCCAAGTCTGAGGTCAGCCTGGACTACTCAGGAAGACCCTGTATCAAAATAAAATAATATAGGGTTGGGGATGTAACTCAGTTGTACAGTGTTTGCCGAGCTTTTATGCCACTCTGGGTTTAATCTCCTACTGCAAAAAAAAAAAAATGTGGGTGGGGGGAAATAAATCAATTTCATCTGGGACTGAGCATGGCATGCAACCTCTTCTCCACGCATGAACTGGATGATCCGGAAAAGTTAAGGGGCAGAGGGTAGAGGATGATCCAGAAGCATTTCTAAGCTCCTTCCTGTCCTAGGGGGTCACTGTCTAGCCTTTGCCCAAGAGGCCTTCATGCATAATTGTAGCTTTTCTGCCGGAAAAGCAGGAGGACAGCTGCTGCTAATTTAATTACATCCAATTTGGGTGGTATTTATCAAGCCTTATGTGTAAGGCACCTTCTTAACAATGTACCAACCCCCCCTCAACACTCACCACCCACTTCCCCCTACGAAAAATCTGACCACAGGATTCCCAGGCCGGCTGGGAAGCCTCCAGCCTCCTGTATCACCAGGGGCTGGGCCTCCAGGTGGTCAGGGGAGGGAGGACGTGGCAGAGCCAGCTGCTCTGACATTGTGTTCTCTCTCCATTGGCTCTGATGCTGACACTCTGTGGGTTGCTACAGAACTGCTAGGGAGACATGTAAGAGCACACGATGGCATCGATGGCATCGGAGGGGAAGCTGACAAAGAAGGATCTTCTGCTATTGTTGGGATTTCTACTTTTATTTTCCCAGAGTGCAGCAGTGGGAGGTGCCTGCTTCTTTCCTTCTGTGTACCATGAGCCCAAGGCACAAATACAAGAGGCAAAAAGGCACTTTTTGTTTCTTAAGGCTCAGGCCTTGGGTCACATCAGTTCCCTCGAGCAGGATCCGGTGATAATGGGCAGGCATGGTTTCCAGGGCCCCTGTGGGAAGGAGGCAGGAGCTGCCTTCCTCACCTCTGAAATGATGCCCTTCCAAGGTACTTCCCCACGCCTCTCTCCTTGAAATGGGAATGAGGTTTCCCGGGTACTCTGTCTAAACCTGTTGTTGTCTGTATGTGGTGGCTTTGAGACTGTGGTGGCTGGCATCCCAGGGAGCTCAGGAGAGTGGGGAGGGAGCGACCATCCCTCAACCACCAGGCAGAGGCATCTTGTCTTCTTTTGATGAAAAAAAAAATGCTACTCCAAAATGGCTCCAGAGAAAGGAAGCCCAGAACTACTGAACAGAGGGTGGGAAAACTTTAATTTTACTCTTTTAAAGAATGGAAATTATTTACTTCAACTACAGGCACTGTAAATTTCCTCAATCCCAAAGAAACCTCTGTAACCAGTGCTGGGACAGGCAGAATGACGGTGCAGAGTGCAGGCTGGGGCAGAGGCCAGAGCCAGGCAGAGGGCAGAGGACTGCAGCAGGGCGGCAAGGCCTGGGCTCTGGGATTCACAGCTGGTTAACCAGTAATAATGCCCAAATTGTATACGGATTGGAATGGCAATTCGTTTCTGTAGAAGCACAGGAAAGAAGTGCAGAAAACCCCACTGGGCCTTAAACCAATCTGAGATTAAACCATTGTCTCAATCTGCATAAGTGCGGTAGGGGGCTGAAGGGAAGCCCCTCTGTGAAGCCCAAGTGCACTTTCCTGTGTGTCAGCTTTCGGTGACCAGAAGATGCCTTCTGGTCCTTACCTGTGACCTCTAGAGGCCAAGTGTCCCATGCATGACCTTGAGACCAGGGTTCTGAAGGTTCTTTCAGGACACTGCATGGTTAACCCAAAGAAGGCTGTAGCACTAACTCTGCACCCGGGAGGGCCCAACCAGTGAGGAATTTGGTTCTTCTTAAAATAAAGACCTTCCCTATCCTGAAAATTGTTGCATTTGCAAAGAGTTTTAGGATGTCAGCTTTCAGCTTCTCTCCTTCCAAGCGGCTCTGTCCCTTAAAGCACAGGATCTGGGACTATTGCTGACTAAGGCGGAGGGAGGAGTGTGTCATTTTCCTCTTGGGTTGAGGATTTTGTTTTTTTTTAGCTTTAGGAGTGTTGTGGGGGTGGGGAAGGAGGGGTCCTGGGAAGATGCCCCCGCCTTGCCTGGCTACCCTGGGTTTGGAGGACAGAGGAGTCTGAGGATTTCATGGAGATGCACTAGGGACAGGAGCCCCGCCCCAAGCGCTTTCTCTCAGGACTCTGCTGGTGGGCAACCAAGGGAGTGACCATGAAGTGACTATTCCGGGTAGGGTCCTTCCCCAACCACCCCACCCCCTCCCTTCACCACACCCCTGCCAGGCCGCCCCTGCCAGCTCTTCTTTCTAGCACATTCTGAGCCTTTTTGGGGCTTTTTGGGTGCCGAGGCCGGGAGGAGGTCACGGGGAGAGGGGCTTGTGCGGTGGGGTCGGTGTGGCGTTTTGGAAAGTGCTGGAGGTGGCCAAAGGGGCCATTTCAATTTTCAGAGGCCTCTGGTTTGGCATGGCACATTTTTCCAAACTGATCCCCCTCCCCCAACACAACCACCACCCGAGCCTGCCCCGGGCTTGTAATTACCTCTAAAGTTGAAGGTCAGTGGTGACTGCTCCAGAGTGAAGTTGGGGAAACCCAGGTGCGTGGAAAAGGGGGCAATGTGGGCGCTGCAGGACTGTGCCCACTGTTGGTGGTCCCGTGCAGAGGGCACCCTGACTTCTCTGTGTAGCTGGAGTCTTAGGACTTGGCTTGGGGCCCATTCTGGAACGGGGCTGAAACACATTCAGATCTACATGCACCTGGGAACAGTCCAAACCTTAGGGAACTCAAATGACCCAAATCTCAGGAGTCCCACATCCAGCTGATTCAGGAAAGGAAAAAAGAAAAAAGTCACAACGGAGAAAACAGGAGCCGAAAAAGAAAAGAGAAACCAGTGGCTGCTCCTCTCTGCCTTGCTATGGCTCAAGTTCATTAGAAAAAAAAAAAAAAAAAAAGAAAGAGGAGGGAGAAAGCCTCTAGTGTGGCCTAGGTGCGCCTGGGCGCAGGCCGAAGGCAGCCCTGAGCCTCTGCGGGCTGTGGAACTCAGGCTCTCGCCAGCAGAACGCCTTGAAAACGTGACACCAAGAAGCAAAATAAGGTCGTGTTGCCTCCTAGGTCCCAGGTCTCAAATTTTTGTATTGTGTCTGTTTAAGCAACAGATAGATTGAATTTAAAATGACCCCACACCCCACTTTGGAGAGCAAAGCTCCTTGTGTTCCTGGAGGTGGTTTTGGACTTCTGCAGCCATGACGCAGGCCCGTATTCCTGGACAACAGTTTCCATTTTGTGACCAGAGGATAAGAAAACAAAAGGCGGACCTACCTACTGAGAAATTCTGACACTTCCTGACCCCAACATTACTTTTTCTTAAGGCCTATTTCTCCCACCCCCATCTAAATTTGGTGCTTCAAAAATGTCTCCAGGCCACTTGCAGATCCAGTATAAAGCAGCTTCAACTCCAATAAATTCCATTTGAACTCCTTCTTCTTGTTCCATATCTGCATTTGAGATGCAATGAAATATACTTTTTTAACAAATTAAGACTTGGCAAAAACACCCAATGAAAGAATTGTAGATGGAATTTAGAAGAAAAATCTTTATTAGGTAACGTAATTCTCATTATTGACACACTTGTCAGTGTGAATCAGCAGCCACATCACACACACACACACTCACACACACCACCACCACCACCACCACTCCACAGTCAGCCCATGTTGACTCATGGGGCTCTAAACCACCCACAGAGTAGATGAGGAGGGGGTGGGGAACTCCATCTGTCCCAGGGAGAAGCTTTGCAGCTGCCCCCAGAGGACTGCATCTAAGGTTGGAATGGAGGACGGATATTATGTAAGTTTAATAGTGGGAAAAAGAAAATTTCCCTGTGGAGACAGTATAGATGGGTAGACTTCTGGTGTGGTCAGTTGCCTTGCTATAAATGTCAGCAAGGGGTACTGTGTGAAAATGAATATATGCATGTGTACTGACAAATGCCTCCTGAGGACATACCCTTCTCCTAGTATTAATTTCTCTGGCTACAGCCCCTTGTGCATTCTCAAAAGCTCCCATCCTCCTTGGTTACAGAAGTAACTTAGTGTTTACTTTTACTTCCATTAAGGGTCATTCCCCCCCACCCCTGCTGTCTGTCTCTGGCAGGGGAAAGAATATTGGCAGATTTTCCTTTGTTACATTCCTAAATCCATCGAAAGTGTTGGGCAGGTATAGCTACCCAGGGCTTCCTCACTATATTCATTCAGCAAACTGAGTCAACTGGGTCTACATTTTAAAAACTGTTTCCTCTTTCATTTTAGCCATAAGATGCCATTAGAAGGGCTAAAATAGGTAGAGGAGATGCTGGGAATCAAATATCTTCAAAGAGCAGAAATCTTTAGGTTCCTTGCATAAGTAATGCTGGGTATAAATGGGCCCTCGATTTAGAGGAAGGAAGGCAGCTCACATTGACCCTGATACTTCATTTGGTGAACACAAAAGTGAACTTGAAATTACACATGGGACAGAGAAGGCCATTAAAACCCCACATAAAAAACCATTCTATAATGAGACCTGGTGGACTCAGGCAAATACATCGCTGCGCACAGACCAGCCAACCCAGAACACTCCCACACATTAAAGCTTTCTGGAACAAGAGTTTACGTAATTAAAAAAAAAAAAAAAAAAAACCCTCCCATGGCAGAGTCTCTGCAGCAGAAACCCTGCAGGCCTTGCGGTAGAAGCTGTCTGGGTGAAGCGTGTTAGATTTCCTCCTAAAAGGAGCATTACTCGGGGAGGCATTGGGAGCTTATACCAGAGGACACATTAGAGAAGGATATAGCAATGTCTGAAGGAACTGCGGGGAAGCAGTTAGGAGCAGAGGCTCACTAATGTGCACATTTGTGGGGCAAGGGGTTTGGTTATCAGAGGCTTAGACCATGCTTAGAAGAACCGCAGGAACAGTCTTCTTAGAGAGCGTAGGGGAGGATGAGGGGATGGTCTCTCCAATGAGGCATGTCACACTGGCTCTTCTCTTCACCAGCCTTTTCAGAAAGGGTGGTAGGCACACCAGGACCAGGGAGACACTAGCTTCCAGGAAGGTATTTTGAAGGCAATGGCTACTGTGCCTCCTCTGACAACCCTTTCTGTCCTGTAGCCAAGCTTGCCTCCTGGGTCTCAGCCGCAGCACAGCCACTGCAGTCTGCAGGGTGTGCACTGCAGCTTGCCCTCTGCAGGGCAGAGGAGCTTGTGGCCCATTTCTGTAGAGCCAGAAGTGGTTCTGTTAATGCCTAGGTGGGGTGCAGTGCACTTGATCTTGGCCTGACTCCGGAACACTCCCTTAGGAGGGCAAATGAAGAACTTAAGATGAATACCTGCAGTGATAGGTGCATAGTAGGTACTCAAATACTAGTGAGGAAATGAGGCAGGGAGCCGTGCCCATCCATGGTATCCTTGAATACTAGTTTATTTACTGGGCTAGACTGAGGAGGCTTTGGAGAGAAGAAGTCCTCAGTTAGCTTGAACTGACACTCTTTGGGCCTTGATTACTGTATCAGGAATCAAATCAAACTCCTGAGCATCCCTTTGGGCTTGGCCTTGCAAAGGCAGGCCTCTGCCATATGGGTGAGGGGAGGCAGCAGGCTTTCTGGGTAGGAAGGTCCACCTCTTAACCTCCTTTCCCTGCTCTTCCTTCAACTGCCCCTCCTCCAGTTTCTCCACCTGGAAATTAGAGTTTTGGTTCTGCCACCATGCGCAGTGGCTTGGCTGTTAATGCTGAGCTGGAGATGGGATGGGACTATGATAGGGGTCTCTAGGACCAGCTGAGGCTCGAGGGCTGTGATGGGGACCAAGGCCTGATTCAGGCAGCAGGTTCTTCAGGATGATGGAGGCTTAACCCTTTTCTGTTCTTGGATAGCATCTTTCAAAACACTCCTTAGAACCCACCTGTGCACTTGCTAATTTTTCCTCCTGTTCAGGTTTGAAAAGGAATGCCTCCCTGCTGTAGGTATGTCTCTCCTCTGCAGTTCTTGGATCAACCCTGAAACTGCAATAACAGCGCAGGGAGGGCACGAGATGCTCCTTGGAGCCCTGGCCAGGCTCTCAATCCTGATGCAGCTCCGGAACTGGCCAAGAGCTTATTCCTTCTTGTCTGCATAGCCCAATGACTTCCTTAAGCCTGTAGGGTGCTCACAGCTCTACAGCAAAGGGTAACCAACAGCTTCCCCCTCCTTCCAAATGGTCATCCTCCCCCCCACCCAAACCCTCAAGAACAATATATCCATAGTCCAGTCCCTGAGGCAGTCTGCCAGTCTCCTGGATGCCAGATATATATTTTTAAGGGCAAACCAAAAGCTAAGCCCAGAACAAAACCACAGCCACAGAGGAAGACGTCGATCCACGTACAATGCATCCGAGCCGGGATAAAAATATGCACAGAAGGACTTGGCCACGCGCTTAAGGCGACTCTCCTCCCGCCCCCCAGCCATATCTGCGTTTGCACAAATCTGTTTCTGTCACAGAATCACTTCGGTTTCCCTCCCTTAGTCTGTTTGCACCTCTAAGCCCCTGTCACAAGCTACACACCTCCCCACCCCAAGGGCTCCAGTGCGGGACAGCCTGCCGCAGGACCCAGCCACCCCTCCAGCCGTGCCGCGCCCGCAGCCGCAGCCGCAGCCGCAGCCGCAGCCGCAGCGCTGAGGTCTGCCGAGGACTCCTCCGCTCGGTGCCTTCTTCCTTGGCGGGCCCTCGCGGACCCATGGTGCTCAGCCAGCCCCATTCTTGGCATTCACCGCGTGCCTTAATTGTATGGACATTTAAATCAAGGTCCGCTGTGAACACGGAGAGAGAGGCCTTTCTCCGGAGGAAGGAAGGAAAGGTGAAAGAAAGGAAGGGGGTGGGGAGGAGATGGAATGAGAAAACCAGGAAAGAGAAATAAAAAGCGGCGCGTGTGCGTGCGCACTGACAGCAGGGAGAGGGGTGGGGGTGGGGGAGCGCCGGGAGGACAGGACCACAGCATCCTCCCTACCGCAGCTCCCCCAATCACACAGACAATGAGATAACAGCGACGTCTTCCGAAGGCTCTTTGTTCTCCCGCATCCTTTCGTTTCCAGGCTTTTTCCTGCAAAGCGGAGGGGGTGGAGGGTTGGGGGTGTGGGTGGAAGTGGGAGACGGAGGGGTGCCTCCCCCCGTGTTAATTACCCCGACTCCCCTCGCCCATCTCCGTGCGCCTCGATTCTCCTCGCCCTTTTCTGTGCGCCTCGCTTTCCCTGCAGCTCCAGACAATGAAAACACAACATCAACCCCACCTCGCCCCAGAGTAGCGAACCCTACCCACCCACTTCGTCCTCAGCTTTGCCCAGGAAACTAAAGCGGGGGGCAAGGAAAGAAGAGAGTAGCAGGGGCCCAGCAGCGGCTGCCAGGCAGGGCGCGGGGCCACCGCCTTTACCTTGATCGCTGAGTCCGGGCACAGTTTGGCCGGGCGTGCCTGAGGGGCGAACTGCCACGGTCCGGGGTCGGGATCTGGGGAATCAGCCTTCCGGAACTCGCCTGCTGCAGTCCTCTCGCTCAGGTCCCAAGTGGTGGAGGGGAAAAAGGAAAAAAAGGAAAAAAAAAAAAAAACCCATAAGAGCGAGGCCCATCTGGCCCCTCATCAGCTTTGTCAAGTCTTGCATACGCTAAAATGCTAATGACCTAGATAGCTCATGCAAAATGCAGCAGGGAGGGAGGGGGGGAGGGAGGTGGGAGGGAGGAAGAGAGTGGGGGGGGAGGGGGAGACAAGGGAGGAGGGAGAGGGAGGAGGGGGAAGGGAGACGGAGAACGAGAACACCCCTACACTCTTCCCACCCCATCTCTGTCAATGGGCTTTACCGGGTAAAGGGTGGGCGTAGATTTAAAAGGTCACTCGTATATAATGTGGCAGGATCCTTAGGTCAAAAAAAGGGAGAGACAGAGGATGAGAGTCTCTAAAGCCAAAGGGACAATAAGACATCATTTTAAACCCTCTCCCTCCTTGTCCTCTACCAGCCCTCCACTCTGTTTACACACAAATCCAAGTCGCCACCTTATGCATGGACAAGGGCATGTCAATTTCTCCAAGCTCCTTTCTAGACACCCAGGCTCTCATTTCCAGCAAAATTCGTTTAGTGGACTAGAGTGGGAGACCGCCCGGGACCGCACCCAGCCCATTCACCTCCACCTCGCCCCACTATTCCATCACCCCTCCCGCAGCCTTCGGCGGCTTCGCTTTTTCTAAGTCTTCCTGTCCCCACTCCCCTTGCCGCATTTTGAGAAGGCGAGGAAGGCAACAGAAAAGTCGAGTTTAATTCCCCTGGATCTCCTTCGATTCAGCTATCCCTCCGGAGGTCCGGAGCCCAACCCCTCCCTAACACTGACACTCAAAAAACATCCCCAAAGTATCGATAAAATGCAATCCGACTACCCTCAGAGGTCCGCACGCCGGGCAGGCGCCCTCCGGCCGAGGAGATAACTAGTGCTCCAGAGCGCAAGGTGCTTTGTCCCGGCGTCCGCCCAAGGTCTTCATCTTTTTGTTCTCCTTTTTAAGAGCCTGGTTGCAGTCCGCAGCGTTTCAGCCAGCGCATCCAAAGGCAGTAGATCTACTGGAATAAAAGGGATCAAGATCATATACATTCAGAAAAACGAGGGAGGGATGCAGAAAGCAAAGTAAGCCAGAATTTTTAGGGAGCGGCCGGCGGGCCGAGCCCGAATCGCTTCTTTCGCTAGGAAAGGGGCGGGCGGCGAGAGGCGCTGGTGGTCGCTCCACCTGGCAGAAGGAAATGATAACCATGATAAGGGGCATCATGGTAATGATTGTGAGTATGATAAAAAAAAAATCAGAATCTCCCTTTGGTGAACCAGAGCATGCGTGCAGGAGGGACTGCACTGCCGGCGGCGGCGGCCGGGGGGAAGGATGCGGGCGCGGGAGGCAAAGGTTGTGGAGGCAGCACCCTCAGATGAATAATAATAACGCGCAGCGAAGTTGCGCTGTAGCCTGGAAATCCAGCCCTGCGCGTGAACTCGCGTCGAGTGCGGATTGCAGCGGATGGGGGAGAAGGGGGAGGGGAGGATAGAGAGGAGGAGGGAGGGGGAGGGGTGAAGAGGAAGGCTGAGGGGGACAGAGAGAATTTGGAGCCTTTTAATTTATCCTTACCAAGCCCTGATCTCGTTCACAGTCTTCCTTGGGTGAGGTCGATGTCCTTTTTAAAAATTATTATTCCTTTAAAGGATTATTCAGCTAAGAGAAGCCACATCTGCTGACAGTTCCGAAAACAAGAGGATTAGGAGCCGGTCCACAGAGCCCGGCCCGCAGCCCCCCACCCCCTCTGCACCAGCACACGTCATTCTCACTGCTCCCGGGCACCTCCCTCTCCTCGGTGCTCCGGAGAGCAGTGCCAAGGAAAATGCGGATTTGGGGAAAGTGAGAAGTGGGAGCGCTCGGAAGAGCGGGAAAGCCAAGGCCCAGGTGGCGATTCGCACCCCCACACTCACCCACACTTCCGTTTATCCGTTTGGATCCCGGGAGAAGGGGGCGCTTTCGCCGCGCGCACACGCGCCGCATCTGCAGTGGTCGGTGCCCTCCGCTCCTTGACGCCACCCTGGTGGCCCCAGTCCGAGGCAGAGTCCTCTCGGGAGCCCGGGACGTCAAACCTACACCTACCTCCATCGCCTCCTCCCCTCTCCCAGTCCCCTTCCCCTTCCCTAGTTGCTGCGGCGGCACCGCTGAGTGACATCGCGGTGGGTCCACTCCGGATCTCTCACGCCTCGGCAGATGGAATGGGGGACCCAGGGCATCCGCACACCCTTTGCTCCTCGCCCCGAGCCTTAGGCGCGAGGCTGGGGTTCCGGCCGGCCGCGGTGCGGGCGAGGAGGGTGCGGGCGGTTGGGGGGGCGCTGCGGCGGATGCGGTTGACATCACTGCCCAGAGCGCGCGGCTGCCGGGCCGCTGCGGCGACCGGTGCGCGGGTGCAGCCTCCCCACAACCCCGCTCCCCGCCGGCGTCTAGCCAGGACAGCAGCTGGGGGTGGGGAGAAGAGTGGGGCGGGAGGGGGGAGGACCACAGTCCCATCCCTCCGCCCCCCCTGCAGTCAAGGTGAACGTGAAGGAGAGCGGGCGCGCGTGCCCGCGCCTCGGAATTCGTGCACGCGCCCCGCCCCTCCTGTCGCGTTTTTGCAGCCCGCGCCCGCTAGGGCCAGATGGACGTCCGAGATTAGAGAGGCACAAAAGTGCATCTCTATGTCGGGCCACTGGTTTCGCGGACGTGTAGACACACTTTGGGTAGCGCCTTTTGTTGTGACAGTTGTGCGGGTGTTGGTCCCCCCACCCCAGCATGGGGTTAGCTTGGTCTCAAAGAAGGACTCGGAATGAATCTGCCCCAAAGAGCAAAACCTAAAGTCCCCCCCCTCTAAACAAACAAACACCCCCCTCTGGAAAAAAAAACAAAACACAAAAAGGCAGAAAACAAACCCTGGGCGCCTGCGATGACAGCTCCGAGGTCCTTCAGAAGGTCTGGGTGCCAGCGGAGTCGGCCCCAACCCAGGCGGCTTAGGCCCACTTAGGTTCAGTACTCGCTCTGCCCACTCCGGCTTTTCTTCTTTGAAGACTTAAAAATAATCTTAAGTGTTTCTTGGGCAGCTCAGGATTCAGGACAGCGAGAGACGGGAGAACCAGCCCTGTCAGTTGAAAGCAGCGGTCTCAACTCTCACAGGCCTCAAATCACACGCCATGCGTGGTCCTGCGGGGGTTCAGAAGAGGTGCCTCTCAGGAAAGGGCAGAAGGAATGGTGACCCCCGGGGTTGCCCTCGTCCTTTCAAGGCCATTTCGGCTCTTGTCAATTATTGGGTGTTTGTCCCAAGAGAAGAAGAATAGAAGCCAAAATCTCTCAGCTCTGGCTTTTTGCTTCAACAATGCACCACTAGAAGCTTAGAAAATAAACAGTTTTTGTGAATTTCAAGAAGTGGAAGCTGGGGTGGGGGGGGAGAGAAGAGGGGAGGGGAGGGGGGTTAGGAAACATCTTTGCAGTGGAGTTTTAATTTAAGATGTTGCTAGCTAGTTGAAAAAAGCCATTTCTGGACTATGTTCCTGGGGAAGATTTTCATTCTTAGAACGTTCTCCTCCAACTAAAATACTTTTCACGTGGAAAAACTCTACTGGTGGTAGCTCGGCTCAGGACTTCCACCATTTTGATAAGGGTTTTAGGATTATTTGTTTTTATTTACCAAGCATTCCTTCCGCAGCTAGCTTCTGAACCCCTGTTAGGTCGAGGGAGGGATGGGGCTGGGACTGGAGTTCCAGTTGGTCTGGACTGAAGGACAGTGGGACCTAAAGGGCTGCTGCCCTTTGCTGGGTTTCCTTAAAGGCCTGGTTTTGTTTAGCTTGAGGATGGTTTCCATGCAGTCCCTCCTGCGGGTTGCTGCATTGCAGGATATTTGCTCTCTCATCTTGCGGCAGGGGGGGAGGGGAGCAGAGGGATGGTTTTGTAACAGGCTCACAGGCCTGAGTGGGAACGCCTTAAATGATGAGCCCTGGGTTAAAACTGAAAAGGTGGTGGTGGGGGGAACAGCTGATGCTGAATTAATAGTTAGAGCATACCCCTGGGGCTTTCTCCAACCAGGGGGTCAGGGGTCCTGGCCCCTCCCCCAGCCACAGATTTTATATCTGTTTTTCACCAGTCTGATCGTATGCTGGGACATTTGTGATGGCTTCTTAAAACCTAAACCCTTGGGCTTAAGAGCTGTCTATGCTCCTGATCATTCTCACCCCAAATACTAACACGTTAAGAAATTACATTGTAAAACCTCCCCAAATCCGATTGACTGGGCTGTTTGGGGCCCATATGGCTGGACAGCTGTACTGCTCGCTGAAAAGACACCACTGCCCCTCGGATGGGATAAAGCCGGGGTTCCCCAGAGAGCTCAGACATGACCTAAGTATTAGCTTAGCCTGGGGTGAAGGCTGAGTTAAATCTCTCTCTTCTTGGAGGTTAAAATAAAGACAACAATCAAAAGAAGTGCACTTTTGAATTCATTGTCAATTGCATGCCTCCTGCTGGTCCCACCAAAGGAAGGAAGGAAGACCTGAGAAATAAACTCTCCAGTTTACCACATGTATGACATTAGGCAAACTGAAGAGAAAGGGGATTGGAGAGAAATATATTATTTGCCAAGCGTACCATGTGTTGGTGACATTTGTGGTTCCCTGTTCAGAGAAGCAGGGTTCTGACCTCAGCCGAGGATGCCTTAGTGTTAACCATAAAAAACAGCCATCAGACTGCAATTTCCATGGTGAGAAGACGAAGCCGGGCTTAAAAAGGAGAGCCCATTACAAAATGCTGCTGGATTTAATTTTTAATATGATGGTGGCTCCTCTAACGCAGTCTTTCCTGTGTTTGCATTCAGGAGGAGTCGTACATCCTGAGGCAGAAAGCAAAATAAAAATAACATTCTGCAGCACTTTTAAATGGGCTCCTTGTTTTTTTTTTTTTTTTTTAAAGGTGTCCTGAAATAGAAAATTTTATCACCTTCCAGTTGCAGAATGCAAAACTTGGTTCCTACTGAAATACTGGAGCAGATAAGAACTGGGTCGTTCTTACTAATGTATCTGTATATACACATAGTCCCTGTCCTCTTCAGGCCTTTACAATGTTTTTGTGATGGGGTGGGGGAGAGACGGCCCTCACAAATCAATGTGGGCAGTGAAATGAGGGGAAATACTAGTTAGATCTCCAAGCTAACTCTCCTTTCAAAGTCAGGGAACACTGACTGTTTTGGAAAATCATTTCAATAGTGAAACTATCTCATTTGAAAGCTTGATATATATATTCAGCAGATGCGGAAGTGTTCCTGTGTTCCCTGAATGTCAGATCAGGTCTTTGGAAATAACTGCAGATAGTTCCGCAGTTGCCGTGCTGTTCCAAAAAATGAACAAAACAATTTCAGAGGTGTTATCTGGATGACATAGCTAATGATGGAACCCAGGGACCATGTGATCCTCTCTTTTACTTATAAAAAAGAGGAATGCAAGGCCCGGAGTGATAGAAAAATTGCTTCTAGATGTCATGAGGACGGCTTAGAGCAAATTCAGAGGCAGATAAGAACAAAATCTGAGTCTTTTCACTTCTTGCTGTGTGTTTTTGTCTTATATCATATTTGAGCTTTAAAAGTTTTCTTATGATTTTGGCAAGCATAAGAAATAGCCTAGGGTTAACTATAGTCTACAGAAATTAATAATATTTTCCAAAATATCTAGAAGAGTCCTAAGTTTCCCAACACATAGGAATGATAAATTTTGAGGACATGAAAATGCTATTCTCTCTGATTTGATCATTACATATTGTATATGTGCATCAAATTATTATACTTTACCCGGTAAATAGGTACAATTATTACATGTCAGTTAAAGATAAAATAAAATATGTACTGAAAAAAAAAAGCCTACCTGATCAAGTTCATTTAGTTTTTAGCTTAGGATGAATCATGAAATCCAAATTTTTCTAGTTTAGAATATTTCAGAACCTATTAAGGCAAGCACCCCGTGAGCCTCCTGTGTCCTGGGGTGAGGATGGTTGGAAGACAGCCTCATGAAAGTGTCAGAGCCCTTGACCAAGTGAATGAAGAGCCACGACATGTTCATAGAATAATCACATTAAAAGGAGCCCAGGAGATTTTGAGGAAGAAGCGCAGCCTAAGTCAGAGCTATGGGAAATACTGTGTCCTTTTCACAGTCATTTTGGGGGCAAGGCTGGGAGGCACGTGGCAAGATTCTCGGACACAAATTCAGTTTACCAGGATGCAGTTGCCACAGCAATTTGTTTTGTAATTTCATTATTTAATAAATTATTTATATTGTACCAAAAAAGAATCTTAAAAAAAAAAAAGAAAGAAAGCCAAAAGAAAAACTGTGGCAGGGCATAGGACACATGTATGACTTTGAACAAGGAAGGCACTTTCCTTCTTATTTCATATCTTCTTTCTCAAGTCCTTCCCACACCAAGAGTATAAGATTCTATTATTATTATTATTTTATACATTTATTCAATCTGCTGTTTACTGTATTTACTTATTTTTTTATGTGGTACTGAGGATTGAACCCAGGGCCTTGCGTGTGCCAGGTGAGCGCTCTACCACTGAGCCAAACCTCAGCCCCTATTATCATTATTTTAAAAAGGAATCCACATGTTCCTGGGTGTGGAAGATATCTAGCTAGTAGACACCGAGGCCTGAAAATGAGAACAGGGAAGGCTTGGAGAAACTCATGTGTTTAAATGGCTTTCACCTGAAAGGACAACCTCTTGAGGGTCAGGCATGGTGGTCCCATATCAGGTGAAAGCATCTCTCCATTCTCCTTAGGATGCTCGAGTCAGTGGAACTGCCTGCCGGGCCTCCACATAAGCAGATTCAACTTGAGCCACATAGCAGATTTAAAAGCCCTCCCTTCAGCTCCCATCCTGACCTAGATTGCAGGATGAAGGCTAATGATTCATTTGCAATGCTTATGATGGGCATCCACTGCAGGCCTCCCCTCCCCCTCTCTCCAAAAGAAACCCTGCTACCCTTATCATCTGATATTACCGCACGTAAATATTTTTGTTCAATTGTTACATAGGGCATGAGGCTATTTCCTAATGAATTATCTGCCCCAGGGAGAAGAACTATAACTCACCAGTGCTTCAGGCAATTTTTAGCATGTGTCAGATTGTGTTTGCATTGGAGAGCTGGGACTGTTTTTCGGTGCAGGCAAACTCTGTTTTTCTTTCTGTCTTTGTGCAGAGTTGTACAATTCAACATACCTTTAGGAAGAGAAAAGCCTTGTTTGTGTCTAAGGGTCTGACGGTAACATAAAAACTGTTCATATGCATAAAGGAGAAGACCATGGGGAGGGTCTAATGATTGTATTCATGTGCCAGATATGGTTTGACTACAAACAGGACAACGCTTTCTTTGAATTTCATTTTAAGGCAGCCACCATGCACGACAAATTATAAAATCAGTGCATTACACTTGGAAAAATGGCCCTGACTGATAACGAGGTGCCAATTGGTGTGTTCATTAAATATACAGATTTGAAGCAGAATTAGTAGAAATGACTTGAAATGGAAATCTTGTCAATCATAAGTGAGACAGCTGACAAGTCAGAAAGAAAAAAAACCTCAAATGTGATTCATATCTTGTAGGATTGTGTCTGAGGATGATTTAAATAAATTTGGACATTAGGTGGTGACAAGACAAAAATGAAAAATAGCATCCAATTGGGCAAAAAGACTGTACCAAGCCTAGGGGGTTGTAAGAAAATAAAATAAAAAAAAAAGTAAAAAGGTACAGGGAAAAAGGAGAAGGAGGGGGGTCATTTGGAGGGTAGCTTGTTTGTAATGAATGAATGAATAGATGAAATCTAGAATATTTATTTCCCAGTAGCCGGCACTCGGGAGACATCTAACTATTGTACATAAAATAAAATCAGTGTCCCTTCTGTGTTCGGCAGCATCAAACAGATTATCTGCATATATAACACTGCTGGGGGCCAAAGGATTGTCGGCTGGAAGTACAGTGCAGGGAACGTGGGTTTCCTTGCAGTCTTGAATTTCAAATTGCAGTAAGTGGGCATCTCAGAACACGGTGCGGAAGACAAAGGGCATCTCTGCACTGCAGCCCTGGGCCAGGCACAGTGCTAGTTACAGGTTTTTCTTTAGGATCTGTAATCTTGCAGCCAGGATAGCCTCGTTTTACAAAGTGGAGCTTGCTTTGCCTAATGGTTAAGTGACTTTCTCCAGTGTCCCAACTGGAATCGGAATCCAGGTCTGGCCAGCCCCAGAGACTCTGCTTTTTCTGTTACAAGTCCGTACTGCAGCCCTTCCAGAAGGAACACGAACAACATTATATAATGTAAAGCCAATATAAAAAAAAAAAACTGTGTTTGTCCTGCCGCATGCACCCAGTTGAGGCGGGCAGGGCGAGGCTGACAGAGCGGATGAAAAACACCACTTAAGATCATTTTTTCTGCTAAACTGTGTTGTACACTATGCAAATTTGATTGCAAAAGTGGAGCATTATCAACACTCTAATGCTAGTTATCTTTCAAAGATGATACTCAGGGTAATCAACATAAACTTAGTATACTGTATCCTAAATAATAAAAATGTTGGCTTGCATCATTCTGACATCCTCCGAACGACCCAGAAAGCCGATCGCAGTGATATATAGTGATAATAACGTTCTGCATTTAAACAGCATCTTAACAACAGTCACAGCATTCCGCCACCTGGGGTGGGGAAGGGGAGGGGTGTCAGCAAACTGAGAATTTAGCAGCCCGTTTGGGTGCAGAGTGCCCGGGGAAATTCTGAGGGTGGCAGGCTGTAAATCAAGGTGAATATACTTGTACTTGCTTCTGGGTGAGCTCCTGCGTCAGTCTAACTCTGCAGCAGGGCTGATGAGGCAAGACCCCCTGCTTGGCAGAGATGCACCCTGTTTTCGGTCCTGGTCAGCTACCCCTGAGCTGACACCACATGATATAAAATGAAATGAATGACTGAAGCAAATGATAGACAAGGTACAGGCAAATAAAAAAGACGGATGGGGATTCTGCTCTGATGGGGTTTGTTTCTCTGCTTAATGACTGCTTTTATTTTTATTGTTTTGGGTGCTGGGGATTGAACCCAGGGCCTGGTGCATGCTAATCACACACTGCACCACTGAGTTACACTCCCAGCCCCAATACATATTTTTAATCTGTTGAGCTGCCCTAGGACCGCAAAAGATGGCATTTCACTTCAAATTCCTTACTAGTCATATGTCAGCAGCCACGGTATTACCAGGAGAGCTCTCTGTGTAATAAAGGAGCCACTGTGCTGGCGGAATGCTCTGTGGTGTGGGGCTACCAGCTGGGGAGGCAAGGGTCTAAGTTCTAGTTCTGGGTTTGCTCCAGATCACGACCTTGGACAAGTCACTTTCCACCCGGAAGGTTTAATCCCTCCCTCTCTGATAAATGGAGGGCAAAAGCTCTTTCCACTCTCTCACCCACTGCCCCCACCTTCTCTTTGTTTTCTCCTCTGCCCCTACCTTCTGAGACCCCCTCCTGATTCCTCATATCGGAGAGCAACATCTCAACTTAGCTACTGGCACCTCAAGATGCTGTTGTCTCTCTCTCTCTCTCTTTAGTTGTAGATGGACAAAATACCTTTATTTTGTTTATTTTTATGTGATGCTGAGGATCGAACCTAGTGTCTCACATGTGTAAGGCAAGTGCTCTACCACTGAGCCACAACCCCAGCCAAAGATGCTGTTCTCTTAAGGGAATTTTTAAGAGGCTTTATCATCACTGAACAACATTCTGGGAACTTGTAGGCAAGTGAGCCATGGACGCTTGTAGGAGACTGGATGCTGCTTGAGAATGAGTTTCTTGTCCTTTTCCACTATAGGGGGCACCCCTATAGGAGAGCAGGTATGGGCCTTGGGGCCAAGACAGATGTGAGCCTATCCCAGCTCCAGCACCTACCTACTCGGTGACTCTGCCAGTTTTCCCCACGCGGCATGGGGATGCTGGTCTTGCTGGCATTGCAGAGCCAGTGTTAACTGAGAGAACATCCAGTGAAAGACAGTTTTGTGTTTCTCAGCCCTTTTGCCTTTTCTCCAAAAGACGGACCAGGATGAGCTCTGAGGACCACTGTTCCTGTCAGCCCCTCCACTCCCCACAAAAAAGAGGGGGTTGGGAGCCAGCAGGTAAACTTGAGCGCCATGTGCTTTTGTTCCCTAGGCCTTGCTGTGTGGTTCACGGCCGGCTCCAGACTGAGCAGAGGTGCTGCCTGAGGAAGGGTTAGGTTATCCTGAACAGGCATTGCAAGGATTGCACCAGGCACCTAAGGAATAGGGGGCCGCGTAGCTCTCACCACCTCCTGAATTCCAGAACCCTCGAATCTTCCCATGGAAAGGAGCTGGAGCAGGTGGCGGGGGGGACTTTGCCCTCCCAACTGGCCAGCAGTCTTGGGCCCATTGCATATGGTGTGCTCAGAGACCAGAGAGAGTCTTAGAGCTGAAGGGGAGGAAGCTGAAGCTTGGAGGGGTGACATTCCCTTCCTTGCCCAAGGACAGATGCTTAACAGGTGAAGTCAAAGACTGAATGTTGCACACTGTGGAGGAAGCCGGAGGAGGAGGGGGTGGATTTTCTATTGGGAGATTTCTTTACTTTCTTCTCTCCTAGGCCACAGCCCAGCCCTGGAAGGACCTCAAACTTTTAGAAGTTCTTTTCAGAAGGATAACGTTATACCTATGGTATAGAGTCCCTGTCAGGATACAATGACACCACGTATAAAGCGCTTAACTGATGGCCATGTTGTAGTATGTGCTCAATAAATATTTGCTAAAGACATTTTTACTAAGAAGAAAGAAAGCAAAGAAGGAAGAGGAAGAAGAAAAAGAAAGCTCTTGGCAAGGAAAGGCCATAGGTATAATTGGCTTTGTTCTTGATGAGACCTAGGGAAAGTCCCCAATGTTCCGAGGGCCAATTGTAACCACTTTTTTTTTTTTTTTTGGAAGACCTAAGGAATTTTCTTTCTTTTGGAGACCTGAGCCTCAAACTTCAAGGTCTGTTTTCAAGGAGGTAACTCCCTTCAGTATTCACCTTAGCATTGATTCATTTCCAGTATGATGGATTATAAGTGGAGAAACTGAAGAATTTGGCTGTGGATGTGAACTTCTTTGGGGATGTCTGGGAGAGACAAGGTTAAATTAAGGGCTCCTTTGATGTGACGGAACAAAACAGTCCCACTGAGAGGAAGGTCCAATTTTTAACATCCTAGGGAAGAGAATGTTGTAAAAAAATATCCTTATAAATCTTCTTAATTAACAGGGTCCAAGGACCTTCCTTTCTGGTAATAAGAAATCAGAATAGCTTCTGGAAATTAATACCTAAAACTTTTAGATACGATGTAAGAATATTATTAAGATTGCGTAGTAGAGATTGAAGGAAATAAAGATACCTGGACCCGAAATAAAATCTAGCTATAAATTGTTTACAAGAAGGGCATAAAAAACAGGAAACAAAAAGGATGGGAATAGTGGTGACATGAAATACTAGCCAAAAGAAAACTGGTGTTACTTGTTCATGTCAAATAAAATAAAAGCGCTGCTGTGATCAAGATGGCCGGTGCTCCAAGAACAATGGAGGGACAATCCTAAATGGGCTCGCCCCCAGCAGAGCTTCACAACAGAAAAGCAGGAGACAAGACAAAGCCAGACAACAGCAACGCAGCACCTTTAGGGAGAAGTGACAAAGGGAAACACAGGAAGACATCTTCGTGTTCTTCTTTTGGTAGTTGATTTAAAAAAATTGGAAATGCCATGGGGTATTGGAAGAACACCATGGTCAAGCTCATTCCAACAGACAAGTTTGGAAAACCTCTTATCAATCATAAGAAAAATCACTTTCTTTTTGCACATTTGGGATGTTTGTGAAACTCGATTATGTCGTATCCACAAAAGAAGTCTGAACAAATGATCACATGTGATGTCATACATACTGTGTCATTTGACAGCAGTAAAATTTAGTTAAAATCATCAGCCCCTTTTCCCTCTCAAAATCCACACACTTTCTCCTCACAGTAAAAAAAACAAAAAACAAAAAACAAAAAAACCCCCAAAAAACCATTTTTAATAATTCTTAGTTCTAAAAGAAGTCACATTGTGAATTATTAATTAACATCAAAATACTGCATATCAAAACTAGGTCATGCAGCTATAGTAATACTTAGAGGAGAACTGATAGTCGTATCATGAATGCTATGTTAGCAAAGAAAGACCAAGGAAGGAAAAAAGTTTGGTGAGGAAGGAGGTGGGACTTAGATTCTGACCCTGCCTGGCACAGGCTCATGACTATTTCACTGGTGAGAAACCTGCGCCACTGCAGGTACCCTTCTCTCTCAGCAAATCATTGTCTGGCTCCAAAGGCCCTCTCAGGGGTGGTACGAGTCCCCGGTTCTCAGTCCTTCAGTCGGCAGGACGGTGTTTCATCCACCAGCCTTGGCTTTGCAGCTAGCACTGGTGCTTAGCTATTCTGTTCAATATTCGTCTTCTTTTGCACTTAGTTGTATGTTTTCACCCTTTTGCTAGATTGTCAAGCCTTTTGAGGCAGAAACTCTCATCTCTGCCACCACAATGTGAAATCACAGAGTGGCCACCCAATACCTAAGGTCTAAAGTGGAATTGGGTTTGCAGACAGAGCTGCAGCCTGAAGCTAGGGAGAGAAGTGGGAGAAAGAAGGTCAAAGTGTCTCCTGACTCTTCTAGACTTTGGGAAGCACCCCATATAGGCTACTGACGGCCTTTGGCTCAAAGAGGAACTTTCTGATTTTGTGGCTAAGAAACAAAACAATCAAAAACAATACATTGTCAGCCCTCCTCTGAGCCCTTGGTTGATGGAGAGGCAGCCACTCTATTTCTGAGTCTTGTCTGTGGTAGCAGTGGATGAGGTAGTTGGCTTTGGAGTTGGGTGCTACCTGGGCTTACGTGCCCAACTAGTTTTATCTTATATTGTGGTAAAACGTTCATAACATCAAATTAACCATTTTAAGTTGTACAATTCAGTGTCACTAAGTAGGCTCACAATGTTGTACAGCCACCTCCACTCTCCATTGCCAGGACTTTCCCATCATCTCAAATAGAAGCTGTGTCCCCATTATTTTTTAACGGCGCCATTTTGGTCAAGTTGCCAGTTTCTTCATCTGTCACTCAGGGCTAATCATATTATCTACTGAATGGGATTATTGTCAGGACAGAATGACGTCATGCCTGAAAGCGGCTTAACACAGTTCTTGGCACTGTGGTTTGTTGAGGATGCACTCAATAAATGTTAAGAAAAGAGCAAGAGGAAAGGCAGGCCAAATCACTTAGAGTTGGGAGAGGGACACAGAATAAGTTCCCTTTCAGATCTCAAGGATCTGAATTAAGGATTAAAGTGTGCTGGACAGGATCGATGGTGCTTGGCGAGAACTTTCACTGTAGGCAAATAACCCCTTCAGGTTTGAAAACGGTTCCCTCCCCCACCATCACTGCATCTGGATGCCACAGGAACTCCAGAAACACTGGAGCAGGGCATGAATGGACGTGCACACAGACATTTCAGAGCTCAGAGCATGGACAGAGATCATTTAGTCTTGGTTGTCAGCGTATCAGTGAGGAAACGGAGACCCGTGGAAGTCAAGAGGCTGACTCTGGAGCGCACGGTTAGGACTAGAGATCGTTTCAGAAGCCAAGTTCCTGAAGCATATTGTAATCTTTGCTTGAAACAGGACCCAAGAAAGGAAGAGAGAAACCCAAGAGACCCCAAAGGTCCTTGCAAGGCCTAACTGGGAGTCCAGGGCTGTGTATGCTCAGTGTCATCTTCTCTGCCCTCGCTACACATTTGGTCCAGAATGTTTAGATAATTGTTTTTCATTAAGGAGAGAACATTCCCTTCCATTCTGGAGGCAAAGAGCATACTGGTGAGGGAATCATAGAAAATGACTCTTTTAAAACCATGATTCTTGGGGAAACTAGGAATGTTTTAAAGACTCAAAATAGCTGGTACTTTTTAACCTTATCCAGTCCCAGTCTCCTGACTGCTCTGACAGGGATAGCAGTGCTTTGGGAAGCTGCAGTGAGTATTAAGTGAGATAAAGAACACCGTGGTGTCTTGCACCGTGCCTGGCACAGTTGGTGTTCAGCACACGTTTCTTCCAGAGTTAAAGGGGGGATATTATTGATGGAGCATGCTCTCCAGCCCCAGCCATGGCCCACTTGACTCTGCTAGGAAGATTCTCTGAGCAGTGTGACTGACCCCAAGAATAACCTCAGGGGAAGAGGTAGCTGTGGACTGGAGCAGTTATGGCAAACACGTGCTCCTGTTGTGCTGCTGTGCCCTGGGTTGCAATACCTTAGAAATGGCTTCCCATGTTTACTGGAAAAACCAAGATGCATCTCAGTGACATTCGCACTGCGGCAGGAGATTTCTATCTCATGCCAGCATATGGATCACTGGAAGTAGAGGGAGTCACTGTAAATCCGTGTAGAGCAATGGGAAGAATTTTATGCTAGGAATCAGGACACTGTGTTCTAGAACTGGTCTTTTAGTAGCTCTGTAATCTCAGGGCTTCACCTCTCTGAACCTCAGAATCCTCTTCTGTGAAACAGTTTGGGATGCATGATTTCTCTAACTCCCTCCAGCTTGAAAACACTATGTTCTATTTATTGCACTCACAGCTTTGCAAGTAGTGATGCTCAGCCAAAATTTAAGTGCCCATATATGTGCTCAACAGTACTTGTACACACACACACACACACACACACACACACACACACACACACCATCCAAGATCTAGAATCCCCACTCAGGGACAGAGCACGCACACCTGAAGCCCGGGCGAATAGCATATTACTCACCACCTTCAGAGTGACATAGCCCAGCAGCCTCTGGACTACATCCTCATCCTCCTTGTGAGTCGGTGCTTCTGCTGCCAGATGAGAGAGAAAAGGTGAAATCTGACTCCCACCCCCTAGAGCCTGAGCCGCGGCCGCTGCAGCAGCCGCCCCTGCCTTTTTCTACCCCGGATGCTGCAGCCGCTCGGAATCGCTGAGCACAGCACATTTCTGAGCTTTGGGAGACAGACTGGATCGCTGCAGAGGGAAATGGGTTTCCATTCTTCAAACAGCTAGTTCCTCCCACTGAGTGTTATCGTGTGTGTGTGTGTGTGTGTGTGTGTGTGTGTGTGTTGGAGGGGTGGGGGGTTACTTTAAACATTGCCACCCGCAAAGGGGTGAATTTGAGAAACCTTGGCTCTTGCCAAGACCAGACCCCTTTTGTGCAGTCAGATCTAATCATCTGAGATTGTGAGTCTGCTTCCTGTTTCAGCATATTCACTAAGGTGACATTTGTGTTTGTTGATGGCGATGGTGACAGGGTCTTTAAAACATCCGAGGGCAAATGACTTTTTCCTTCAAGGGTGATGTTTCTGTGGGCTTAGGGTCCAGGGCAACATCCTTCAGCTTGATGGGAAGAGCTATGCTTTTAGTGTTTTCCTGGCATAATCTTTTGGGATCAGAATGGGGCAGAGCCTAAGACTCATTAGCTTTGGGGGTGGAGCTTGCATTTTAATTTCCACAGATGCCTCCCTGAATGCTCACCCAGCTTTTGGGGTGCCAGTTTCATTGCTGGCCAGTCTTTGCTTCCACATGAACATTAATGCTGGTGGTCTCTGGACATTTATGCCATCTTGAGTTTCAGTTTTTTCATCTGTAAGATGATACTATTTCTAGGGTGATCAGGATGAATCACTTAGATGACTTATGACCATGATCTCTAAGCCTTTTCAACTCTGCTTCCTATCAGTACAATTATTTTGAGTGTGCACCTCCAATGCACAGAGCATGCATTTATAAATTATATCCCACACTTAGGCTATTAGTCATCATATGCACTTAGAGAAGGTTCATTATTAATGACAGTGCATGTTAAGTCATACTGCAAACAATGGTGATCATTTCAAAAACAACTTTTAGCCAACTTAGTGTTGAGTCTGATTAGATCCTCATTTTTTTTTTTTTTGATCTTGAAATAACATGGTTGTGAAGAGCTTTTCCTAGGAATGGCTGTGTTGGTTCTGCCTTCTCCTGCTGTTGCTGAGTCATTACTGTCCACTTCCATTTGGATTTCTTTGCAGGCATCTTCTAAGCCAAGTGTCCACTTCATGAGGGGGTGGGGGTTGGTTTAATTGGACCAGGCTGCACACTCTGGAACTCCTGCTCCTCTTCCCCATCTCGGAACCCTCCCTCTTCCCTCGGGTGAGGGGTGAGTGGCACCTGGGTTCTATACACAGGAAAAAAAAGTCACCCAGTCATCACCGTCAACTCACATATTAAATATTAAGATAAAATAGAAGCTCTGGTATTTTCTTTCCTGCCCTTCAGTGGATGGTTCTGCCAATCCCCTGGGATATCTGCCTGCACCCTTTTTGGAAACCACTGAGTTAATGGAGGTAAATGTGCTTTGTAAGCTACGATTAAAAAAAAAAAAAAACAAAACCAAAAACCTGACTAAACAAAAATGAGGATGCTGATTCAGAGAATTTCTTCATGTGCAGAGCTTTGCTCACCTAATGCTCTAAGGAGCTCTGAATACTTTTTCACGAGGGATTGATTTCCTGGGTGCTCACACGGAGAACAGGCCTGGTTAGTTGGAGTTTGTGGTGGCATGGAGGACCAGGTAGGCAGGTCACATGGACATACTAGACTTTGCTGACTCCAGTGATGGCCCTGCATGACTGTTAGGACCATCTTGAGTGTGGCTTCTAATTCCTCATCTATGGAATAGAGGTCCAAGAGGGAGAAGCCTCTGGGGCTTGGAGCTGGATAACGTGGGCTCCTGGAGATTTTTCTAATTGATTATTGTCCCTGGAGCCAGATTTACCCCAGAGAGGATCACCCCTCCAGGGCTGTGGTTAAGCCAGACTGCTCTCTGGATAGGGGTGTTTTGCACCTGCTACGGAGGTAGCCCAGGAAATTATCCATCCAAGAGATGTTCAGTTTCTAATGGTCTGTTCTAGAGAAAGCTACAGATTATAAGTGGGAGGGGTAAGAAATGCTTCTTCATTGCAAACACAGACAGCTTTATTCAGCTGCAGAAAACTGAGACAATCAGAACAGTTCTAACATGTAGAACAGCCTATGCAGAAGTCCTTCCCTGCATCCTTGAAAATTTTTGCAGTACTGAGATCAAACCCAGGACCTTGTGTATGATAGGAAAGTGCTTTACCACCAAGATGTATCCCCAGACCTGGGTCCTGAAAACTTCAGTTTTTCTTCCATGGTGGATAGGTCTCAGGGTTTTTAATGTGAAACAAGCAGGGTCAGGTTGATTTGGTGTTGAGCCAGAAGAGATGTGCTTACGACTAGATGACTCTGGGACAGAGAGAGAGATGGCACATTCCCAAATTGCATCACACACCAAGCTAAGCTTCACAGGACATCTCTGTAGCTGACCCTCGGGTAACACCCTGGTGAGGCGGAGATACCGACTCCTTCTGCCCTGCATACTTTGCCGGGCTACAGAAACTCTAGAACCCAAGATTTCTCTAGAATGGAACAATGGTCCCCAAATCTCTTTAATGGTTTTCTGGGCTACTCCTAGAACAGATTGGTCAATCTGGCTTGACCACTGTTTGAAGAGGGAGTGATTCTGGAGTAAATTTGGCTTCAGAAAAAAATAACAAGGCAAAAGAGGCTGAAGAAGGCTCGTGTGTTATCCAGCTCTCGGGGAGGGGAGAATAAAACACCAAGGGCATTTAAAGCATATATTTAATGAAAAGTAAATGACAGTTCAGGACCTTCTTCCCTAGCATGTTCTCTCACAGTGGATTGTGGCTGGCCCCCACTCACAGTCCCCAGCTTCCTTGGCCATGAAGCGTGGCCATGTGCCTGAACTGTTGTCAAGGATTGGAACCACTTCCAGCCCAGTTCATGATGATACTGGTGTGCCCACCCGCCATGCTGTCTTTCTTCTTCCATGACATAAACCTATCCTTGATAAGGATCCACCTCTGGACATGTGGATGATGATGGTTCTCTAAGGGAGGGTTGAACAGTGATTGGATTCCTGAATGACCACGTGGAGTGAGGCTCCTGTCCCCCTCTCACCCAGAGCCTGCACACTGTAGTGGACACTGTGTTGGGCTTCAGTTCTGCAGCACTCATGCTCCCAGCTTCTGGGAACGTGGCTGATAAAGGTTCACATTTGAATTCTTTCCAGAATTACTCTTGTCCAAAAAGAGCTGCCTCACCTGAAGTCCCACCACCTACTACAGGGAGAGCCCACTTCCATTGCCTGGTCAGTGTTAGGTCAAAAGGCCTGGCTCTCGTGCCTCAATTTTGAACACCTCTAAAGGGACTTTGGAGCTCTCTGTGGTTATTGGCCTAAGCTTCTATTGCAACGGTAACAACTCCTCTCCCCAGAGGCACTCCCCTGTAAACCCTAGGCAGGCAAGACTCCTGTCAGTCCATTTCCCAGAGACCCCAGCCCCTGCGCTACTCTTATTGTGACTGTCACGTGAATGTGAGAGGGAGAACTCTTTTTCATTCTTAAGTCTCTGGGTTGTACCTGTTTGTCACACTAGCTCAAATCTCTCCTTCATTCCGTTATTAAACTGTGAGAGACAAACTGACCTGAGACTCAGACCTGAATCCTAGTTCTGTTTCTTCGCTCTCTTTGTTCCCCATATTTTAAAAATCGGTGTATTATAGTTGAACATAATGGTGTAATTCCTTGTTACATATCCTGCATGCATACAACATAACAATATAATTTGGCCAATATCATCCCCAGCACCCCCCTTTCCCTCCTCTCCTCCCTCCTGGGCCCCTTCCTCTACTCTACTGATCTCCCTTTGATTTTCATGAGATCCCTCCCCCGTACCTTTCTTTTCCTTTTTAGCTTCCACATATGAGAGGAAGTATATGAAGGGGACGCTTTTTTTGACTTTGAACTTCACTTCTCTTGGCCCTCATCTTATCTGTAAAATGAAGATGTTGGACTAGATCACTTTAAAGGTCTCATCCAACTTTAATAATCTGCAGTTATCTTTGTTCTAAAAACTCTCTTCATAAAGATTTAGTGATATCCAGTGGCAGTTGTATTAGTTGAAAATTTCCACCCAAGCAAAAGATTTGGAATGTGACCCTGCATCCTGACCTCTCCTGTGCTTCTCCTCATCCCATTTCCTTTCCCTTCTGCCTGCACCACCTGTCCTCCATTTTCTCTCTGATGCATCTCATCTACCAGCCAGAGAGGAGGTCCAGAAAACTTCAGTGATTCCTTTGAGCTCAGCTGCTGCTGTATGCTTCCAGCTGAAACTCCATCTGGAGCTCACACTGCAGGCCAACTCCTCCGGTGAAAGCTGTCTTTTTTCCATTGCACCTCGAAGCCCTGCACACCAGGGGGGCTCGGGTAGACTTGGCCACTGAGGACAAACATTGTCTTTTCTTCTTCCCCAAGTCAAGGCTCTTTGGGAATCTGAATGCCCTTGCTGCCCATTTGCGGCAACAGGATGCTGTGCTCAGCACTGTAACCAGCCAGAAGGACCCACCCTGCCCTCAGGGCACTTACACAGGAGCTTAGACACTGCCACTCAGTCAGAAAAAGGTAAGTTTTTATTTAATGATGCTTTGCAATTTTCAAAGCATGTTTTCGGATGGTCTCAGTCCATCTAGAAAATAACTCAGAAGATCTGGTATTCTTATTATTCTCATTATACAGATGGAGAAAAAGAAGAACGTTTAAATGTTTATTTTGTTGGGGGGGTGGTGGGAGGGAGGGAGAAAGATACTGGGGATTCAGTTCAGGGCCTCACACATACTGGGCAAACTCTCATCACTGAGCCCAACCTCAACCCTTCTGATTTTTTTATTTTGAGACAGGGTCTAAGTTAGCCAGGCTGGCCTCAAACTTGCAATCCTCCTGCTTCAGAGACCCAAGTAGCTGGAATTAGAGGCAGGCACCACCATGCTTAGCTTTAAAATTATATTCCAAGATCACATCATAGTGAACAGAGTTGGATTTGGAATCCTGACTTTCTTAGCTCAATACCTGAACTTTTGGCTGGACACATAACTCAATGGTAAAGCACACAGGCAGGAGGCCCTGGGTTCAATTCCCAGCACCACAAAACAAACCGACAATAAAAACCCGTACTTAAAAAATGTTTCCTTTTGTTAATCTAAGAAACTCCTGCTTGAGATCCACACTTAGATCTTCCAGGCAGTCTCTGGGCTCAGGAGACTTGGCTCAAGTCTTGGCTTATAAATTATTAGTTGGTCTACACCACCCCTGCCCTCAGCTAGGCTGCGAACACTTGGCCATTCCTGGGTTTCCTCAAATGAAGCTTACTTCACCTTGGTTGGTGAAGTTAGACGTGTTTTTCCTTCTGTAGCACTAAAATGTCACACATTATGCAGGGACGACAGTAACCAGCTCTGGTCCTAGGTAGGGACAATGGGAAGCTGCCTCTGCCTGTGGCATTAACAAACCTTGAGGAATCTTCTCCTTTGTTGCTTCCCAGATTCCTTCCTCGAGGGCAGTGTGACATTTCACTCCACAGCACCGAAGTCTCAAGTGGAATGTGGCACGGGCTTGTTTTAAGGCCTTCTCCCAGGCCTTCTCCCAAGAGTGGGCGTGGGAAGTGAGCCGCGGCGGAGGGTCCGTGGGGGGGGACGCACAGAGACGGGCAGAAGAGCTTCCCGGAGGGGAGGAGACCCAGAAGGTGGCTTCCTGGGACCATCTGACCAGGCAGTTCAGCGGACACCGTTCTGGAATCTTCAAAACTCCCTTTCCTGTGCCTTCCAGAAGCTGCTATGAGGGGGGAGTGAAGGGAGAGGTGGGCATTTGCAGTGCTCTGTCCAGTCCCGGGGCACGAGCAGAGGCCCACGGCTTAGGGTCTTCACGAGGGTCCGTGCTGCCTCCGCGTGTTCCTGGCGCCAGGCTGCGCCACTTCAGCACCAAAGACAGCGCCAGAGGGCCCTCCCCGGGCCGCGGGACCTCTGCCTGTGGCTGGGGACGCTGGGGAGGTGGGAAGGTCTGAGTCAGCGTCCTTGGCAACTGTGCTGAGGACGGGAACACCGAGTCTTAGGGAGGAGCACCCGGGTCCCACTCGGACGCCTTGGGGTTTTCCCTCAGGATAGGACTAACTTCCCTGAGAAGTCCTTCCTCAGCGGCTGGGGCACCGGTTTAGCCCTTCCTGCCCCATTCTATCAGAAAGAGGAGGAGACCTTGTGGCATCTCTTCTCTCTCCCCAGAACTAATCTCATTCTTTTAGGTCTAGGTAGAAGGCAGGGAGCCCTGGCTCTCTGATTTCCATGTAGGAGCTAACTAAATAACCCTCAATTTCAGGGAAAACATGGAGGGCATGAATTACATTCCTTGCAGTACATGGACCTTGGATTTTTTTTTTCCTGTATTGAGAATTAAACCCAGGGTCTGGCACACACTAGGCAAGCCCTCTACCACTGAGCTGCATCTCTGGGCCTTTTAATTGTATTTTGAGACAGGGTCTTGCCAAGTTGCCTAGATGGGCCTGGGACTTGTGATCCTCCTGTCTCAGCCTCCAGAGTTCTTGGGATGACAGGTGTGTGCCACTGTGTCTGGCTTGTCAGGGACATATTAAAGTCATGATGGCTTAGTTCCATGATTTAGTTCCAAATTCCAGTGGGAATTTCAAGTTCAGGTGAAGGTGGAAGATGGCCTCAAAGAATTTCCAGGGCCTCAGAGATGACATGAATTATGCAATAAAGACAAACTTGCTATTCTACCTCTATGAAAGGCCGTCCTGGTTGTACTTCCAATTCTTTACCAACTGTGTGATCTTGAGCAGGTCACTTCACTTCCCCGAGTCTCAGTTTCATCAACTATTAAGAGGGTTAATAACAAATGCCAATGTTATACAAGTCTCAGTGGAATACTTTAAGGGAAATTGTTTTGTTAACCATAGTGAAAGACACAACAATTTAAAATAACAGTCCCTACAAAGTCTTTGATGGGATGGAACAGGCATTTCTGGTTTCCTAGTCACTGTGGGCTATGAAAGTGTCACATCAAGCCCATCACAGAGTGTGCACCAGGCCAATTCAAAGGGAAACTTGTCATCCTGCTTTCAGTTGGCTGTTGCCTGTGAACTTGGCTTTGGTCCCTTCTGTATCTGAAAAATACATTTTTTCTTCCATTAACTTAATAAGCGAGGGACACTCACACTGACGCCCTGGGTTTAGCAGGCAGTCACAGTGCTTCTGGAAATAGCTGATGACATGTCCTCTTCCCCCACCCCCCAACAGCCCTTAGCAGAAGCCTGTGGGTGGGTGTAATCGCCACGTGTTTCCACCCATCCCCAGCTACCTTCCTGTCACTTCCCTTCATCGCCGCGGCATCTGTCGGGTGATTCGACCTTCCTTTAGAGCACTTAGAAAAGACAAGTTCATATTGCCTGCAAGGGAGGGCAAGCCCGTCGCCGCTCAGCCTACCCATGACGTAATTCCTGCCTCTATGCTCAGTCGGGCCGTTAGCCTGTCTCCTTCGTCGCATTGTGTCCCGTGTGGCTTCTCCCTGGTCACTTCATGTCCCGTTCCTCTTTCCTGATGGAGTCTCAGTTCTGTTCATGCATCCTCTGTTCCCCAGGCAGCCACGTCCCTGTGGAAGCTGACCTTATCCCCAGCATGGTTCTGATGGGGACAGGCTTGCCTCTCACCTTCGCTGGTGGTTAGTGCTGGAAGGTCTCTGGGACAGGCTTTCCTATCCCTAGGAGATGGCAAAGGATCCAGAGGAGATGCTGAGAATTGTTGCTGCCGGTCTGATACGAGAGCCACACAGGATGACAGGACAGGGGGATGAAAATAAGCTGGGTCCTTGGTGACTCGGGCACGACACCACATCAATTCATTCTGAAACATGCATTTCTTCCAGCCCTCCTGTTACGTGAGCTAATGAAGTTCTTTATTGATTGAACAGGGGTTTCTGTTACTTGCAGCAAAAAGCATTCTAACATACTCCATTGCTTGTCAGGAGACGGCTCTCAGTTATTTGTAAAAGACACAATGCAAACTTGTCCTGTATTGAGTCCCATGAGCAGCACCCCAGAATAATTCACTGGGCTTCTTAGACCAACAGTATTTCACTCACTCCTGCCATTCTCAGCCACCTGGGGTGACATTAGGTGGCAGCAATTAGAAGACATTGTTGGCCAGTTTTTGCTTCCTACTTTATCACATTTTCACCCTCGTTCTTAATCATAGCTCATTCCGTTTCTTCTAGGTGCCCAGCCTACCATTTGTCTATTTTTGTGGTTTTCTGTTTTGGTGGGAAGGATGTCCTTTAGTTACATAGAACAAAGGTCAAAGACCAGGGAAGAAGGTCTTTGTCAGTTGGGAAGGCCCTTTTGCTCCTTGGAAGTCAGTTTTGAGACTCAGAATTCTATATGTGAAGGGTTCTTCGGGGCCACCTTTATTGCCCTTCTTCTAAGGAGCACACTGAGAGGGTACCAGTTCCACCCTTGTGTGCAAATCTCCCTAGAAGCTGCTCAGCCAGCTCCTCTTCTTGGCTCTGGTGTACAGTCACAGAGGTGGAAAGGGGAGGAACCCATGCCTATTGCTGCTTGGTCTTCACACTTGTAGACAAATGATCAATACTTTGGAAATTAGAAAAGAAAAGATGGGGAAGGATTGAGGAACAAAAGAAGCTGTCAAGAGATATACTTCATACTCCCAACAAATCCCTTGTAAGACTCAGTCAAAAAGTTGCGTGCCTGGGAAAGGCCCACGGAGCTACTTTGCCTGGCCTTGGGGTGGAGGGATTTCATGGTCTAGTTGAAAGATGACATGAACAATTAAAGAGCTACTTTTAACCATAAAATTAGCTGAAGAGAGGTGTGAATAATTGTTTTGGACAATAATAGAAGAGCTTATCACAAGATAGGCCATTACTTGTCAAAATCTTAAATTAACTGCACAGATAATAATCTAAAGAAGAAACAAATTTGGGCTGCAATCAATTAAGAGGGTTTATGAAGTACATGGGGATGGTTCCACAGCCATCACTGTCATCACCAGTATTCCTCTGGTAACATGACATTCTGTTAATTGAGCATCTGCTATAATCAGTGACAGGTACTGGGTTATGGTTGCTCAGTCTCTGCTATAATATTGCAAGGTATTATCCCCGTAATGTAATAGGGCTACTGAGAACTAGATTGCCTAGGAACTTCTGCAAGAGCTTTAGTGAGATGCAGTTAACGTAGCATACAAGTCACTCACCCAGTGGGTTTTCAGTGTATTCACCAAGCTGTGCAATGGTTACCAAATTCAATTTTAGAACATTTTCAACTCTGCCACCCCCAAATCCCAAATCCATCAGCTCCATTTCTCCCCAAATCCCTACGACCTTTGCTTAGAGATTTTAACTCAGGCCCATTGAGCATGGAAGGATCAGGTAAGTGTGAGAACTGGCAGCTCCTAAAATATTAGAATGTTATTTAGCTCTCCAGTCTCTACTGACTTTGAGACTGATTCTGAAAAGACAGGTAAGTAGATGAATTTTTACTACATAGTGTTTATGTGCTTAAGTTCTGAGTATACTGACGGACTAGGAAGTTCTAGAATTGCATTCCTAGACCATTTGTCTCTTGCATGTTTACATGCTCTCCAAGGCTGGGTCGGCTGGAGATTCCAAATAAAATTTCCTCTGCAGTTTGGGCTGAGAGTGGAGAGTGCTGATCCACAGATGACTCAATCAACAAGGTGTCATCTCCCAGGACTCAGCTCCAGCCAGGCAAGATGGTTTCTAAACAGCTCACTACTGAAGCCCCAGCATGAGGGGCTCAGCCAGGCTGGAACTCCAGCATATCCCTCTGCACAGAGACCAATCAACAAGACTTAAACCATAGCTTCTAATATGAGAACTTGGTAAAACTGAGAAGTGGAATTCAAAGCTGAATGTTGGAAATGTTCCAAATGCAAGCACTAGAATATCGAGGCACAAAACAAGGACTAGGAATCTTCCAGCACCTTATTTTAAGTAAAAGCTCTGAGACAGAATATTAAGTAACTTGCCTAAAATCACACAACTAATCAGTGGAGGAAAAACTAATTTAAGCCCAAGTCTGCCTATTCCAAGGGGCGTGCTCTTTCCACCAGACCAGCGCTCTAAGGGCAGGCAGAGTCCACTGAGGTCTCTGTAACAAAACACCATAAACCAGATAGCTTATAAACAACAGAAGTTTATTTCTCCTAGTTTCAGAGGCTGGGAAGCCTGAGAAGGCAGTAAATTTGATGTCTGATGTGGGCTCACTTTCTGGCCTGCGGGTGTTGCCTTCTGGCTGTGTCCTCACATTGTGGAAGGGGAGAGCAAATCTCTGGGTGGTCTTTTATAAGAACACTGATGTCCTTCATGAAGCTTCCACCCTCACGACCTAGTCACCTCCCAAGGCTCCACCTCCTAATACCATCTAATTGGGGTTAGATTTCAACACGTGAATTTTGGAGGGACACAAACATATAGATGACAGCAGGCAGAAAACCCAAAGATTCAAGAGAGTGAGTGATCACAAAAACCCCTTTTGAGCATCCTGCGGGGACTGCAGAACTCCTTCCTTGATGAGAGTTGGAAAGGTGCCCCTCCCATGCTACTGTGAAAAAGGCCACCAAAACTCCATCTCTTCAAGTCCCCTAATTGCTCTGTGTTTTTTGTTGTTGTTGTTTGTTTTTTGTTGTTGTTGTTGTTGTTAAGTGTTCCTCTGGAGGGTGGGTGCTGGGTAGGGGGACAGGGCTTGGAGCAGAACTGTTCCTTTCAGCTTTAATTAGTCTAGTGATCTTGTAGCATATTTGTTTCTTGATCTTTTAAACCCAGGTCCTCACATGAATTCCCACTCACTTGTGACAGTGTCATACCAGGCAGGAGAAGAGAGCAGAGAGAGCGAGTTCAGGCACCAGGGCAGGAGTCACGAGCCCCACTGCCACTCTACCCAATGGAGGACTGTCTCCATCTCTGTTCTGGTCTCCCAGGAAGATCCTGTGGAGAAGAATGAGATCATGTCTGAAAAGTGAGCTGAACTTCTTGGAGCAAGAAGCTAAATAATTCCAAGGCCTACAAGTGCCATTATCTGCTCCAATTTCTAATCCTGATTCAAGGACCAGATTGAGTTTATCTTTTAAAAGAACTGGTCAGCTCTTGAATCAAAGAGCTGAATCCTCTTATTTTCCTCTTCTGGGTTTTCAAATGGTGACAAGAGCTCCTAATGCCATGGCAACGGGAGCTGTGGAAAACTTAACCCTGAAATGTGGGGTGAAGAGGACCTTGTGGAGTTGGCAGCCTTTAAGGGAAGAGACTGAAGGTTCTTTCTTCATTGTGACATTGTGCACTGCAGCCAGGATTTTAGGGAGCAAAAATATGGGCTCTGGAGTCATGCAGTGCTTGACCTGAATGCCAGCTCTGATATCACTGGCTGTGTGATACTTAGCAAACTACTTAACTTCTCTGAGCCCAGGTTGCAGGATTGTGTGGCTAATACCTGAGGATGAATATTTGGAAGTGCCTGGTACATATTAGATAATCAACAAATAGAAGGCTTTGTGGACTTTTATCTATCTAGCTATTGTGGCTTGTTTTAAGCATGGAATTTCTTTTCCTTTGCTCCAAGTTTGCCGCCAGCAGCTTCCAATGATGAGGTTCATCATTGGAAGAGTATGGGAACATATGTCCATATCTTAAGATTTCTTGGATCTGGGAAGATTCAGGAAAAACCTGTCTGAAAGTTTTCCTTGTTGCATGTGACTCTA